CCTCCTCCTCCTCTCCGCCTCCTTTCCTCCTTCCTCTCCCCTTCCTCCTTCCTCCTCCTCCTCCTCCTCCTCCTCCTCCGCCTTCTCCTCCTCCTCCTTCTCCTCCTCCTCCTCCTCCTCCTCCTCCTCCGCCTCCGCCTCCGGGTGGAGGAGGCCCGGCCGCCGATAATTGAGGGTGAGGGGGAGTTCAGCCCAGACATGATCGCACCGTACAAATATCAGGACGGCAGGTTTTTGGCCGTGTTCGGCCTCGGGGGGCCCTCGCCGGGCCGCGGGAGACCGTCAAGAAACGACTCAGGACGAAGAACTGGTCCCATGGAAAGGGTCGGGATTTCCAGGGACCCGTCTTGAAATAATGAGGACTTCGCATGACTGGGTCGCCAGGGCTCTCCAGCGGTCGCGAGGCAGCTGTTCGAGGCTCGAGGGGGCTGGAGGCTCGCGAAGCTCGCGAGGCTTGAGGCTCTCGAGGCTCCGTGGGCGCCTTTCTCTTGGGCCCCCCCCCCAGGCGCTGAACGAGCCCGCCCGTGGAGCTTTCGGCGCCCCTTTGGCTTTCTGGCGCACTCTTGGCGTTCGGGACGTCGTTGGTCTTCGGCGTCTCTCTGGTCCTCGGCGCCCCTTTGGTTTTCGGCGCCCGTTCGTTGTTCGGCGCTCCTTTCTCCTGAGATTCGGCGCTCCTCGACGTTCCCTGACATCCGGGCGTTACATTTTGTAGCACCGTGCATTTTCGCATGGTTTCGGGCAGGGCCATCACAGGTGGGTCGTGACTTGCGCGATGCTGTATCCCTCACGCTTCGCGTATCCCCACCAGTACCGCCCTCTGGACTTTTCCTTGCGGGCCGCGAATCAAAAAAGTATCCCCACCAGCCGGTCAGAGCCTGGCGCCACTTGTGCGACGGCTCCTTCCGTCCCCAGTTCGGGCTCGCGTTCCGATTTCGGGTCGCCTACGTTCTAATGAGGGTCATTTTGTCCCTGGCACGTGCATCTGCTGCCGTGGCCTGTGCGCCTCTGCAGCTAATTATCTCGCCCTGTGCCCCAGCCGAGTCCGTCCCGCTTCTTGGATCTGTCCTTGGAGCCGCCAATCAAAAAAAGTATCCCCACCAGCCCGTTCAGAAACCCTGCCCACGGGAGCTGACGGAAAAAGGGACAAAGAGAGAAACAAAGCGGGTTAACCAGGATGAGCAGAGAGATCTCTAGGAGCAAGGGGTGGCGTTCGAGGGCCTTTTCGGGTCATCCCTGGGCCCTGCGAGGGGGGCGAGGGGGAGAAAGGAGGAGGAGGAGGAGGAGGAGGAGGAGGAGGAGGTGGTATGGCTCTGGGGGCGCCTTAACCCCGTTGGTGGGCCCAGCTATCTGGTGTCACCACCCCGTTCGGCACGGTGGCCCGTGTTGCCGCTCCTGGAACGGCTGTGGCCGACGTTCCCCCATCTTGGGCCACCTAAGCAGGCCAGATGGGGTGCCACGCTTGCAACGGCTGTGTTACCGACTCGGGGCCATCTAAGCAGGCCAGAGGGGAGGAAATTATATTTTGTGTCGGGGGGGGCATGATTTGTCCGCCCAGGCGGCCCCTGTTGCTGAAGCCCCAGTCTCCGAGTCACGCAGTCGGTGCGCCATTGTGGGATTGGTGAATACCACTACTCACACTCGCGCGTCTCATAGCATCGCCCAGTATATGACAGGGATATGATGATGGACGCTCCGATATTTCCACGAGGGAGACCCTGCACCAGTACAGAGTGGAGACAGGCATATATATATATATATGTATATATATATATATATATCGGAGGTGAGGGGGTGAGATCGAAGTGGAACGGAGAGCCCCCCTACCGGGAAATCGATTTCGGTTTCGTGTTCGTGCGTGCCGTGCGTGCGGGCGAGGCGAAGCTGCGTGGGCGGGCGAGAGGAAAGTCTCCTGTGGCTGAGGCGCGGCCGGACCAAATGATTCTCCACCGGGCGGCCGGTGGCGCGCGGTGTCCCGCCGGTGTCCCGGTGGTGTCCTCTGTGGCTGAGGCGCGGCCGGACCAAATGATTCTCCACCGGGCGGCCGGTGGCGCGCGGTGTCCCGCCGGTGTCCCGCCGGTGTCCCGTCGGTGTCCCGTCGGTGTCCCGATCATGATGTTGATGATGATGATGATGATGATGATGATGATGATGATGATGATGATTATGATGATGATGGTGATGATGATGATGGTAATGATGATGATGATGTTGATGATGGCGATGATGATGATGATGATGGTGATGTTGATGATGATGATGATGATGATGATGATGTTGATGTTGATGTTGATGATGACGATGATGATGATGATGATGATGATGATGATGATGATGATGACGGCGATTGCGAGATCGATTGTGATATCGGTAGTGAGACCGAATGTGAGATCGATTGCGAGATCGATTGTGATATCGATAGTGACATCGATTGCGAGATTGATTGTGATATCGATAGTGAGATCGATAGTGAGACCGAATGTGAGACCGAACATGAGACCGAATGTGAGACCGAATGTGAGATCGATAGCGAGATCGATTGAGTGAGACGTTGGTTCCCCCTCCCCCCTCACCTCCTTATCACCCGCAGGGTGGTCGTATAGGTGTATATATCTATATATATATATATATATATATATCATTGCGCGTGTACGCATGTTTGCGTACACGTTGTGTCAGACAGCGCTTGCATGCCCTGCGTGCGCAGGGGCGTGGGAAGTTCTCGGATGCCTCGCAACATCAGCGCGCGAGGGCAGGATGCCCATGCCTGTCGATTGATTGGGATGGACATCCGAATTTCAGACACAAGAAGCGGGTGCCACTGCATGTGCATCGACAGGGTTGGGCAACCATGCGAGCGCGTCACCTACTAGACACGGTCAATGTCGGAGGCTGCCGCGCCCGCAACGGCAATCTGGCCGACACGGCCATTGAAGCGGGCCAGCGTGTTCGTATGCCAAGCAGCGCCCTTGCGGGGTGGGATGCCCATGCCCGTCTATCGACAGGGATGGGCATCCTAGCTGTAGGCACTATATGTGGATGCCAGCACCTGTCCATCGACAGGGGTGGGCATCCATGCCGGAACGTCACTTAATTGACACCTTCGGTGTCGGACGCTGCAGCGTCTGCTATGGCAGTATGGTCTGTTCGCGGTCACTGCGTGTGCCATAGTTTTCGGATGCTCAGCAATGCTATCGCTGCAAAAGCGGGATGTGGATGTCTGTCCACCGATTCGGATGGGCATCTAAACCAACACGACGCCAGCTTGTGGCCGTCAGCGTCGAAGGCTGCGTCGCCCGCAACAGCGAATGACCGCCACATGGCCATTGAAGCGGGTCAAACTGTTTGCGTGCCAAGCAAAGCCCCCATTGCGAGGGCGGAATGCCCATGCCTATCCATCGACAGGGATGGACATCCTAGCTTTAGGCACGAGGGGCATACGCCAACTTTTCCAAGCCATCAAGGCCTGAGAAGCGAATGCCAACTCCTGTCCATCGAAAGGGGTGGGCATCCATGTCAGCACGGCGCCTACATGAGACCGACCCTGTCGAGGGTTGCCGTACTCGCGGCGGCAATGGGGCCATCAAGCGGCCACCTACACTTGGCCTCGTGACACGACCTCCTTGGCGGGGGGGCCATACCTGGCTGGAACGCGAGGCCACTTAGTCCGACGCCACTGTCGCCCAGCCACTCACTGGGCAAGGTGCTGTTCAGGGGTGCTCTTCGAGTTCAGAGAACTCATGGCGCCCCGTGCGTCCCCTGCGCTTTTCCCCATTATGCACTCAGTATCGAACGGCGTCGGCACGGGGCGGAGGAGGAGGAGGAGGAGGACGAGGAGGAGGAAGAGGAGGATAAGGAGGAGGAGGAGGAGGAGGAGGAGGAGGAAAAGGAGGAGAAGGAGGAGGAGGAGCAGGAGGAGCAGGAGGCGCAGGAGGAGCAGGAGGAGCAGGAGGAGCAGGAGAAGCAGGAGCAGAAAAAGGAGCAGGAACAGCAGCACGAGGGGCGGCAGAAACAGGAGGAGGCAAACCGCCTCTTGGGGCCCTCGTGGGACGCTCTTGGGGCGCTCTTGGGGCAGTCTTTGGGCCCTCTTGGGGCTCTCTTGAGACTTTCCTGGGGCCCCCCTTGGAGCTCTGGAGAGCAATCTTGGAGGCTATTCATCCAATTTGGGGTCCCTTATCTATGTCCCCCCTTTGGGGATATCAAAGTCGCCTCTTGGAGCTTTCTTGGGCTTCTCTTGGGGCGCTCTTTGACGCTCTTGGGGCCGTACGGGTGGCCTCCTGGGCCCCTTTGATGGCTCTCTTGGGCCATCTTGGGCAATCGTGAGGCCTCAACAGCATATCGGAAGCGAAGAGGCGAGAAGGCATAAATCATGTATTCCCGATGGCTTTTGAAGGGTTTGGGCCTCTTGGGGGGGTTCTGAAAGGGGTTCCGAGAGCACTTGGAACCGTCTTGTGGCCCTCGTCGGGTTTGTTGGAGGTTTGTCGGAAGCTACATTGAACCATCTCCCGCTTTCTTGAGGCCTTGGAGGCCATCTTGGAGCATCGCAGGCTCTCTTGGAGCAATGTGGGGCGAAAAGGACCCCCTGACACATCGCGACTCCCTCAAAGAGAATCTCAGGGGTACCCCTCCCCGAAGGGAAGAGGGTTTTGGGAGAGGAAAGAAAGACATCGTTAGACCATCTACGTCCAAAGGGCAGGCGAAGTTCTTTTTGCAGCGTCCGACCTCTGGGCCCTGCTCCGGACGCATCCCGGACCTGGGGGCTGTGCCCCAGACCCGGATGGCCCGCGTTTCCCTCGAGGCGAGGGCTCACCAGGAAGAGGTGTCGCCGCCGTTGCGGGGGAGGGGGGGCCTGGGCGCTGCTGAGTGCTCTCGCCGCCACGTCTGGGCGCAGCTTGAGCAGCTGGGCCTGGACGAGCCCAGGAGGGGCCGAGGGCCCCCAGAGGCCGACAGCGGGGCAGAAGAGCTCCGCACCCAGCGCCTCGACACGCTGGAGGTCCCGGTGCCAGGGCCCAGCCCTGCATGGCTCTCCACCCCCAGACATGATCGCGTCGTCGTAAGAAACAAATCCGCACGGGAGGCGTTTGCCAGTTTTTTCGGCCTCGGGGGGCCCTCGCCTCGGGACTGTCAAAGTACGACCCAGGACGAAAAACCGTTCCGGGGAAAGGGTCGGGACATCCAGGAGCCCCGTGTTGAACAAGTCAGGACGTCGCATGTCTGGGCTGGAGGAAACAGGGAGGAGGGAGGACGGAGGAGGAGGAGGAGGCGGAGGAGGAGGCGGAGGAGGGGGGGGGAGGAGGAGGAGGGGGAGGAGCAGGGAGGAGCAGGAGGAGGACGAGGAGGACGAGGGACGAGGAGGACGAGGAAGAGGAGGAGGGAGGACGAGGAGGAGGAGGAGGAGGAGGAGGAGGAGGAGGAGGAGGAGGAGGAGGGAGGAGGAGGAGGAGGAGGAGGAGGAGGAGGAGAGAGACGAGGAGGACGAGGAGGAGAGGAGGAGGAGGAGAGGAGGAGGAGGAGGAGGAGAGGAGGAGGAGGAGGAGGCGGAGTCGAAGGCGGAGGAGGAGGAGGAGCAGGAGGAGGAGGAGGAGGCGGAGACGGAGGCGGAGGAGGCGGAGGGGGAGGAGGAGGACGACGAGGAGGAGGAGGAGGAGGAGGAGGAGGAGGAGGAGGCGGAGGCGGAGGGGGCGGGGGAGGAGTTGGAGGCGAGAGAGGAGGGCATGGGTCTCCGCCCGCCTCAACTTCCGCACCGCGGGCGCCGCCGCGAGACGCGGCCGAGGTCGCCACACCCAGGCCGCCGCGCCGCGGGCGCGGCGCCCGCCGCGTTCAGGGCGCGGAAGGTGGGAGATCGAGGGAGGGGCGGCCCTGGCCAGGCGTTTGGCATTGCTCGGACATATGCGTTCTTTTTCGGCGAGGAGCATCGAGGAGCATCCCCTGGACCGTATGCGGCCCCCAGGAGTCCCGACCCTTTCCCAGGGACTGGCTCTTCATCCCGACTGGTTTTTTGGACGTCCCGAGGCCCGGCATAAGGGCCTTCAGAGAGGCCGAGAATGGCCAAAAGCCTCCCGCCATGATCTTCTTTCATGACTCGAGGGGCTCCTGCTGCTCCTCCTCCTCCTCCTCCTCCTCCTCCTGCTTCCTCCTCCTCCCCCCTGGGTGGGCGCACTCCCCTCCGCCCCCCGGCCCGTCGCCGCCGGCGACGTCGCGGCCAAGCTCGCCGCGCGGGCCGTGGCCCGCGAGGACCCCCGGCTGCGGGTGTGCCGCACACGGCTGGGCCGGCTCGCGTCGGCCGCGCCCGCGGGCGCGGTGCTGGCTGGGGCCGTCGTGGACCTCAGCGCCAGCTCTCTGCCGCCGCACGCCGCCAGCTGGCTCCCGAGGGGGCCGGGCCTCTCTGTCCGTCCATATGTCTCGTCCTGTCGTGTCTTGTCGTCTCCTGGTCCTGTTTGTCTGCTATCGTCTGGTCTTGCGTCTGGTCATCTGCCTTGTCAGCCGTCTCGTCTTGCCTGTCTTGTCTGTCTGGCTGTCTTGCCTGTCTTGCCTGTCTTGTTCGTCTTGTTTGTCTTGCCTGGATGGCTGTCTGTCTGTCCGTTTTGCTGTCTGTCTGTCCCTCTGTCTGTCTGTCTCTGCCTGGCTGGCTGGCTGGCTGGCTGTCTGTCTGTCCTCTCTTTTTTTTGTTTTCTCTCTCTCTCTCTCTCTATTTCCGCCTTGTCCTCCCCCTCTCGTCCCCTCTCCCTCCCCCCCCTCGCCCCTCTGGCTCGGGCCCCCGCCATCCGCACCTCCCGCACCGCGGCGGCGGCGGCCGCGGCGCCTGGGCGCCTGCTGCGCGTCAACCCTCCTCCTCCTCCTCCTCTTCCTCCTCCTCCTCCTCCTCAGATCCTGGCGTCTCAAGCTTTTCGAGCCGGGCGTTTTCGTCTTGTTTCGTGCCCCGGGACCCTCGCAGATCGATCCCCGGCTCGAAAATTGGCGCAGCAAGACGGGGTCTCTATAGAGCTCTGGGCGTGTTTTTGTTTCTCCGATGTTGCAATTCTCTCGCTATACGCCGGATCTCAGGGTCAGACGTCGGGCGCCTCGAGCAGAAGTCGGAGCGGCCAGCTTGTTGCCACGTGTTGGCCTCTGGAGAGGCCCGCGCTTCGGGCCACGGGGCCGTGGAGGAGCGGCTCGGGGAAGGGGTACTCTGGAGGTCTCGGGGCCCAGACACCCGATATGCCTTGGCTTCTGCACCGCGCGATCCCCGGGAGGAGGAGGAGGAGGAGGAGGAGGAGGAGGAGGCGGAAGAGGAGGAGGAGGAGGAGGAGGAGGAGGAGGAGGAGGAGGAGGAGGAGAAGGAGGAGGAGGAGGAAGAGGAGGAGGAGGAGGAGCAGTGGGAGGAGGAGGAGGAGCAGGGGGAGGTGGAGAAGAAGTCCCGACCCCTTCCCCAGGGCTGGCTTCTCGTTCGGCCGGGGCCCGTTACGGGCCCCCAGGCGCCGAAAGCTGCGAGAAACCTCCGTCCTGATTCTTCGTTCCTCATGCTGGAGGCCTGGGGCAAAAATCGAAGCGCAGGGTGCTTGGAGACGGTGCGGTGCGGGAACCCCCTTCCCCTGGCTACCGGCCTCCAGGGCCGCTCCCTGCGTTCTTCGTGCTTGTCGGATGATCTTGTGCCTCCAGGCTGGGGGAGGGTGCCCTCGAGTGTCCTTCAGTTTGGCGGGCGGAGTGTCTCGTGTTCTTGACCCAGACATGACCGCGTCGTAAAACAAAAATCAGGACGGAAGGTTTTTGGCAGTTTTCGGCCTCGGGGGGCCCTCGCCGGGCCTCGGGACCGTCGAACAACGATTCAGGACGAAAGACCGGTCCCAGGGAAAGGGTCGGGACTTCCAGGGACGCCATATCGAAAACATCAGGACGTCGCATGTCCGGGGATGGATGTTCTTCTGTCCTAGGTCCGGCTGTAATGGTGGTGGAGGAAGGTGCTCCCCTCGTGCACCTCTGGGGCCCTGCAGGGGCCTTCTGGGGCCCAAGAGGGCCACGCAAGGTGCATGCTTCTTCATGGGCCTCCACCACCACCGTAGGTTGGAGAGGGGGAAGGGGGTGGAGGACGAGGATGAGGATGAGGATGAGGATGAGGGTGAGGAGGAGGAGGAGGAGGAGGAGGAGGAGGAGGACCACTCCCCCTCCTGCTTATTGTGGTGGTGGTGTGGTGGTGGTGGTGGTGCTGGTGGTGGTGGTGGTGGGGTGGAACACACACACACACCACACACACACACACACACACACACACACACACACACACACACACACACACCTCACACACACACACACACACACACACACACACACACACACACACACACACACACACACACACACACACACACACACACACACACACACACACACACACACACACACACACACACACACACACACACACACACACACACACACACACACACACACACACACACACACACACACACACACACACACACACACACACACACACACACACACACACACACACACACACACACACACACACACACACCACACACACACACAACACACACACACACACACACACACACACACACACACACACACACACACACACACACACACCACACACACACACACACACACACACACACACACACACACACACACACACACACACACACACACACACACACACACACACACACACACACACACACACACGAGCCCACCACTTCTTCGCCCCCCCAATGCCTGTCCCCTCAGCAGGCGACGCCCAGTTGTGCTGCGCGCGAGGCGCGCCGGGGGCGGCGCGGGCGGCCAGGGCCAGGGGGAGTCCAGGGCCGACCCCAAGAAATCGGGAGTCGTTTTTCGTGTTCTCGCTGTTTCGTGCTTCCGACGGTCCAAGACAGCCCACGAGGCCCCAGAAATCAGCTCAAGACGGCCCACGAGGCACCCAAAGAGGGCGCCACGACGGCGCAAGAGAATCCCAAGACGGCCCAAGAGTGCCCCAAGACGGCCCAAAAGGCGCCCAAGAGGGCCCCAAGATGGCCCCAAGAGGGGCCCACAAGAGGGGGGACACTAACCGACAATTCGAGCCTTCCGCCCCAAACAGAGCCAAGAGGCCCCCTAGAGGCCCCACGAGGCCCCAAAGGGGCCCCCAAAGACGCCCCACCAGCACCCCAAACGGCCCCCAAGAGACCTCCCAAACTGCCTTCAAGAGGCCCCCGGGAAGCCTCCCACGAATTCCAAACGAACTTCCAAGAGGAGGCACGGTGGCGGGATGGGCCGAAGGCCACTTATCGGGAACGTGAACCAAGAACCCGATATGTTCGCCCCAGGAGACCCCAGGAGGGGTCAAGAGGTCCCCAAGAAGCTTGGCGACGGATCACTGGTCGACAGGTCGATGAGAGCGGAGGAGGAGGAATGAGGGAGAGGCAAGAGGAAACATATAATGTTGACCTCATTATTCATGACCGCTTAGTTTTCTCAATGCGGTCTGCACTCGACCAGCTAGAACCGAAGCGCGCGCGGAGCGCGCGCGATGGTTCTAGTATACGCATACCAAAAAATGTGCGTGCGTGTGTGTGTTATCACGGCCCGTATTGAGAACAGAAGCGAAGACAGCAAGATGGGAGACTTGGACGATTACTTATTTCACCGAGATCTGGCGCTCTGCTGCCCAGCACTTCGAGGCCCGCGGGCTTGAACAGTGCCTGCTGTCATGACGCCTGCTGCTCCGGAACTGGGGTGCGGGTGTGGTCACCAACTTTCGGCGTCGCGCCGAGTGGGGAAGTGAGAGGGGACAGGCCTCATCGGAAGGCGGGCGGGGGCTGCGCAGAAGTCCCCACATGGCCTTGGACGAGGAGCCGCCCGTGCTCCCGGTGAAGGCCCGACGCCCTCTGAGCCTTCTGCGCGCGGGCCCGCCCCCTCCCTCCTCCTCCTCCTCCTCCTCCTCCGCCTCCTCCTCCTCCTCCTCCTCCTCCTCCTCCCTGCCTGCCTTCCCCCTGGGCGCGCCGCCGAAACATTCCCATCCACCGGCCGGCTGTCCCCGCCGCTGCCGCGCTTCCGTCTCGGGGGGCCCTCGGCGCTCCGAGGCTCGCGCGGGCGCCAGTGCGGGAGCTCGCTGAGGGCCTCCGCCGCAGCGCGGAGACCGACGACCCGCTGCTGTGGGAGCGGCTGGCGGCCTTCGTCGGCGCCGTACGGCGCGAGCGCGAGCTGAAGTCGAACCGCGACGTGGCCCTCTGGGGTCTCAAAGCCCGAGACACAGGTTTGCGACGTCCTGATTTTTGTTCCGATGCGGGGTCCCTGGACGTCCCGACCCTTTCCCTGGGGCCGGCTTTTCTTCCCGATATGCGCTGTCTGACGGCCACGAGTCCCGGCGAGGGCTCCCAGGGGCCGCAAGGGGCCTTGATTGGTTTACGACGCGATCATGTCTGGGCTGCGCTCCCCCGCCCCCTCGATTTTCGGCGGCCGGGCCTCCTCCCCCCGGAGGCGGAAGTCGAGGAGGAGGAGGATGAGGAGGAGGAGGAGGAGGAGGAGGGCGATGGCGAATGGAGACAACGGTAGTTGGCCTTCCGGGGGGGAGGGCCCTCGCCGCGGCTGGTGCGCAGCTCGGACGACTGGTCTCAGCGAGGGGGGGCCGAACGGTTCTTCACTGTCCCCAGGGTGCGTGGCTGAAGTGGGCTTCTGCGGTGCGGGTTGTTGTTGTTGTTGTTGTTGTTGTTGTTGTTGAACATTATTAATTCTAAAGAATAATTATTGTTGGGCCCCCTGGTGCACGCCCCCCCCCCCGCGCCTAGGCCGCAGCCACATTTTCATAATTTTCGTGATCCGGTTGTTTTGTTGACGCCCGCTTTCCCTATCAAAAAACAATATAAAATGACATGTCTTGTTCTAACATAACCAAACTTCAAGAATCCTTTGCAAAAAATGGCACGAAGTGCACACTCGCGCGCGCAAGATGAAATCCTTCCAAAACCTTAGTTTTCGTAGCGATTTTAACATAAAAACATGAAAAACCCAATGGTTTTTCAAAAAAAAAGTTTCAAAAATTCATCTTGCGCGCTCTTGCGGATTTCTGAGGAAACCCAATATTTTTTCAACATTTCTGTCAAACGGGCTCTTGCGAGCAACTTTTTCACGTGCTTCGAACTTCTGCAACAACGGTTGCGCGCATGCCAGGGCCATCATCCCTGTCAAATAATACCATGCGGACACATTCGTTTTTTCTTCGCGCGCGCACGCCGTCGTCGTCGGCCGCGGGGCCCTGAATAGTAGCCACGGTCGTCCGCATGCCACGAAGTGAAGTGTCCGAACGTCATAGGGCGGGAAGCTGGGTGTGGGTGGTGGCGAAGAGTCGTTTGGAAATTTGGTAGAGCTTGAACCGGCCCCCCCACAAAGTGGGGGTATTGCCCGCCTCCTATGAAAACCCTGGCACTGGTGAGAACGGAGTGTCCCCACGTGCTTGTAATTGTTGTTGTTGTTGTTGTTGTTGTTGTTGTTGTTATTACTTCTAAAGAATAATTATTGTTGGGACCCCTGGTGCACGACCCCCCCGCCGCGCCTAGGCCGCAGCCTCATTTTCATCATTTTCGTGAGGAAGTCTCAGGCAAAACGGGGGAGTCCGGATCCGGTTGTGTTGTTACGATCGGTTTTCCCTTGCAAAAATAAGCTAAAGTGGACATTTCTTGTTCTAACATAACCAAACTTCAAGAATCCCTTGCAAAAAATAAGGTAAAGTGGACATTCGCGCGCGCAAGACGAAATCCTTCCAAAACCTTAGTTTTCGTAGCGATTTTAACATAAAAACATCAAAAAACCAATGGTTTTTCAACAAAAAAATGTCAAAATTTCATCCCGCGCGCTCTTGCGGATTCGTAGGAAACCCAACACTTTTTAAACATTTCTGTCAAACGGGCTTTTGCGAGCAACTTTTTCGAACTTCTGCAACAACGGTTGCGCACCTGCCAGGGCCATCATCCCTGTCAAATAATACCATGCGGGACACATTCGTTTTTTCTTCGCGCGCGCACGCCGTCGTCGTCGGCCGCGGGGCCCTGAATAGTAGCCACGGTCGTCCGCATGCCACGAAGTGAAGTGTCCGAACGTCATAGGGCGGGAAGCTGGGTGTGGGTGGTGGCGAAGAGTCGTTTGGAAATTTGGTAGAGCTTGAACCGGCCCCCCCACAAAGTGGGGGTATTGCCCGCCTCCTATGAAAACCCTGGCACTGGTGAGAACGGAGTGTCCCCACGTGCTAGTATTTGTTGTTGTTGTTGTAGTACTCCCACTACTGAAGAATAATTGTTAATCGCTTCGCTCATTCCGCCGGCCCATAATGTCGCACCGTGGTCGCCTGTCCGAGTGGTCGTTGGCAGTGTGGAGCTGCGGTGTCGGGAGCTGTGTAGTTGTCGATAAATTTGTTATTGTTTTTTCATGGGGCTTCTATGTGTTTGCAGTTTTTTTGACGGCTTTGGTGCCATCGTGGGGGCGTGTTACCCGTGGTATCCCGCTGTGGGGCCGTTCGAGCTGGGGGAAGAGACCTCTTATGCGATAGGGGAACCCTCGTGTCGGAGGGTGGTAGGCTTTGAATGCTAACGTTGGCTCTGTTATCGTCCTGATGTCCTCTGGCGTTGCGGACACGGGCGTGAAGGAACACTTTCTTGTGGCGCTTCTCTTACCATCTCTGTTCTAATTGGACCCTCCTCCCTACTGTTTCTTTCTTCCTTTCGGTGAGCTAGAGAGAAGGGGGCCGGTAGCAGCGGAGGGAGGCGGCAGTGCAGAGGCGGGAAAAGGACGACGAGGAAGGGGAGCAGGAGGAGCAGGAGGAGGAGGAGGAGGAGAAAAATCAGGAGGCGCAAGAAGGGATTGTATGGAGGCCTCCTGGGCCGTCTTGGGCCATCTTGGGGCCCTTTTGGGGGCCTCTTGGGCCCTCTTGGGGCGATCTTGGAGGCCTCTTGAGCCGTTTAGGGGCGTCGGGGAACCGAAAAGGTTGAAACGCCCAAATCTGTCCAAAACCGATGGAAAAAAACATTGTTTGTTTGCCTCTTGGGGCCCTCTTGGGAGTGCTCCTGGAGGCCTCCTGGGGATCTTGGAGGCTTCTTGGGTCAGCTTGGAGACGTCTTGGGCCGTCTGGAGGCCATTTTGGGCGTCGTGGAGCGATCTTCGGGCGTCTCGGACCTCTCTTGGACCGTGTTGGGGGCGTTCTTGGGGCCCTCTTGGGCCGTCCTGGAGGCCTCTGGGGCCGTCTTGGAGCCGTCTTGGGCCGTCTTGGGGCCCTCTTGGGGGCCTCTTGGGCCCTCTTGGGGCGATCTTGGAGGCCTCTTGAGCCGTTTAGGGGCGTCGGGGAACCGAAAAGGTTGAAACGCCCAAATCTGTCCAAAACCTATGGAAAAGCATTGTTTGTTTGCCTCTTGGGGCCCTCTTGGGGGTTCTCTTGGAGGCCTCTTGGGGCATCTTGGAGGCTTCTTGGGCCATCTTGGAGACGTCTTGGGCCGTCCGGAGGCCATCTTGGGCGTCGTGGAGCGATCTTCGGGCGTCTCGGACCTCTCTTGGACCGTGTTGGGGGCGTTCTTGGGGCCCTCTTGGGCCGTCTTGGAGGCCTCTGGGGCCGTCTTGGAGCCGTCTTGGGCCGTCTTGGGGCCCTTTTCAGCGCCGCTTGGGCCCTCTTGGGGCGATCTTGGAGGCCTCTTGAGCCGTTGAGGGGCGTCGGGGAACGGAAAAGGTTGAAACGCCCAAATCTGTCCAAAACCTAAGAAGAAGCATGGATTTTTGCCTCTTGGGGCCCTCTTGGGAGTGCTCCTGGAGGCCTCTTGGGGCATCTTGGAGGCTTGTTGGGTCATCTTGGAGACCTCTTGGGCCGTCTGGAGGCCATCTTGGGCGCCGTGGAGCGATCTTCGGGCGTCTCGGACCTCTCTTGGATTGTGTTGGGGGCCTCTTGGGGCCCTCTTGGGGCGATCCTGGAGGATCTGGGGGAGTGTCCCGGGCGTGTCTCGGGCGTGTCCCGGGCTCCTCTCGGGGTACTTTTGATCCAGGGACCCCCAGGGGCCGCCCCGCGCGCGCGAACCAGAAATACTGTTTACCAGTTACCGGAGATCTTAGCACGCCTCTGGCCCGTTGGGCCGGCGAATTGTTGATCCCCCCCTCTGGTGCACATTGAATTTTTTCACTTGAAGTGCCCCTCCTGGCGTTCGCACCCGGTTTTTAATCAGGAGGCTTAAACTGTGCCTCTGGCCCCCGGTTTACAACAACAGCGGCTCCCGCTTGATACTTCCTCAAAATTTACTCCAGTCCCCCGCTCCCGCTTCAGACTTCCTCGCAATATACTCCAGAGTCGCGCTCCCGCCTGAGACTTCCTCACAATTTACTTAGGCGCCGCGCCCGTGCCACTCAGGAATCGCGCGTTCGCTGGGGACTTCCTCAAATTTGGTTGGAATCGCTCTCTCGCTGGAAACTTCCTGGCTAATCACGCTGATCTCACGATCGATCCGCCCGCTCGGCCCGCCTGTCAGGGTCATGCCCTTCGTGCCCCATGCTCGCTCGCGACCTTTGTGCCTCATTGCTGGCATTCGTGGCCCCTCTCCTTGTGGCCCAGTCGCTGCCTTTCGTGGCCCCGATGCTGCCCTCAGTGGCCCCTCGCTGTTGTGGCCCATGCGCCCTTCGTGGCCCCCAGTCGCTCGTGCCCTCAGTGGCCCCATTGCTGCCCTTCGTGGCCCCGCTGCTGCCCTCAGTGGCCCCCTCGCTGCCCTTTGTGGTCCAAATGTTCGCCCTTCGTGGCCGACGACGACGAGGACGCCGACGCCGACTACGACGACGACGACTACGACGAGGAGGAGGAGGAGGAGGACGACGACGACGGCGGCGGCGGCACTGGCGGCGGCGGCGGCGACGGCCGAGTGGGCAGTGCGGGGAGCCGCAGTGGAGCGGGCCCCAGCGCGCGCCCGTGCCCCCCCGCCTCGAGGCCCAGTGCGTGGAGGCCGCCATCCGGCGCCTCGCAGACCCCGCGGGCCCGCTGCTGAGCCCGACCCTCGGATGGGGGCCCTCGGGCTCTGCCTGCTTGGCCGGGGCGCGCGGGGCTGCCTCCCGGGCCGACGACGACGACGACAACGACGACGACGCCTCAGCCACACGTGCTCCCTGCCGGCAAGCACCCCAAGCCCAGGGCAGAAGCGCGTCCTTCCAGTTGGGCTGCCGCTTCATGGGGGGGGGTCGATGGATGGGGAGGGGGAAGAAACCTTGAGATCGTCCCAATGTTTGTCGAGCCTGGCGGTTTCACTTGTTTTCGGGACCCGGGAATCTCACTGATCGATCCGGTTCGAAAAATGATGCAGAAAGATAGGGCTCGGGGCGTGTTTTTTGTTACGATGTTGTTGTTTTTGCAGCGTCGGATCTCGGGGTGGGGGGGAGCGGGCAGGGCCTGGGGGAACTTCTGCGGCCTGGGAGACCTTCGTGGCCTGTGGCGCCTGTGAGACCTTGGACGCTTGCGGGACCAGTGGGACCTGTGGTACGTATGTGACCTGTGGGACCTGTCAGACCTGCGAGACCTGTGGGCGGCGTGGCCCCGGCGGGACCTGCGGGACCTGTAGAACTTGAGAATTCTGTGGAACCTGTGTGAGACATGCGACACCTCTGGGACTTGTGGGATCTGCGGGACCTGTCGGACCTGTTGGACCTGTGGGGCGTACGAGACTTGCGACACCTGTGGGACTTGTAGGACCTGTAGAACCTGTCAGGCCGATGGGACCAGTGGGACATGTGGGGCGACCTGGGACACTTGTGGGTCGTGTAGGACCTGTGGGGCTTGTGGTGCCTGTGAGACCTCCGAGACCTGTGGGGTCCAGAAAAACAGCCCACGCTGAGGCGGGATGGCAATTTGTTGAACAACGGGAGCACAGCGCCGATCCGAAAAGAAGGCCCTCGCTGCAGCGAGAGCGGCGTTTTGGAAACACTGCAAACAATCGGATTGTACAAAGCCGTTCAACAAGTTCGCGCGAATCCTGTGTGAAAAACAGGACGCGGAGGGATCAGATGGAGAAAACAAAATAAAAACACGGATGCGCAAACCATGAGTGGACAAAAAACAGTACACGGAGGGCCACTCTCAGCACACATCCTGGAGAGAGGAGAGTAATAAGGTCCAGCATTTGCTTAAGAAAACTCCAGACAAGTTGGGCCAGTTTGAGCACGTCTGGCCCTCCAGCGTTACCAACAAAAGTTGGCCCATGTTTGTTTGAAGAAGCTTCGGGAAAGCTGGCCTAGGTTTCGCAAATGAAAAGTGTCCTGGTCATGTTGTGTACTTGTGGAGGGCGGAGGAGGATGGGCGGGAGGAGCGGTGGAGGAGGGACGGGAGAGGAGACGGGTTTTGCTGCCGCCAGGGACCCTGTCCCTCCAGACGTCGGGGGCCTTACCGCTGAGGTCGGGTCCACGCCACGCTTTCTTCTGGTCATCGTTTTCTGATTCATTGTTTTGCCGATCGGCGCGGGCCCTCGCACCCCCCACTCCCCCCCCCAAAGGACTAGATCTTGGCTGTTTTTGGCGGCCGTTTCGAGCAGATGGAGTCTCCCCCGTAGGACGCACTGCTGCAAACAGGGACATTACGCGGAGGTCTGGAGCCAGACCCCCCCCCCCTGCCCCCCCCTTTCCGCCCACTGCCGAAACGCCGAATAACACGTAAGGGAACGAACAATGACGTAAACATAACAATTCGGAGGTCCGCGCGGATTTCTCGGATCGGCGCTGGGGCCCCCCGGCGGCGCCTCCGGCGGCGCCCCTGGCGCGCGGAGCGCGCCAGGGAGGGGGTCAAGCGCCGATGCGGTAAATCCGCGTGCACCTGCGAGTTGTTATGTTTATGTCATTGTTCGTTCCCCTGAGTAAGAAAATGCTCACCTGGATGCAGTGTCCTCTCTTCGGCGACACCGTCGAGGAGTCAGGCCCTGTTCCCTCGGAGGGCCCGAGGAGCATCCCCGAGGCGACATGGCCTGTACCGGTCGAGACCTCGGGGGCAATTCTGGGAGGCCCTGCGCAGGACCACTCCCGCAGGGCTCGTTTCGATCCCTCCGATCCGATGCGATTCGATGCCGATGGCTCCCGCTTCCGAGTCGATTCGGCTTCGGGCTCCCACTCGGGCCCCGATCTCTTCACATCTGGAGGCCCGCTGGCCCGCTGAATTTCTGCCGACCCGACTTTTGTGCCCGCCTCGGCTGCCGATGTCCGCTGCTCCGCTTCGCGCCGACCGCCAAGCCGACATCGATGCGGGTCGTGTGGCGCCCACGCCCGGCCCTTCCCATTCGGGCTCCGATCTCTTCACATCTATGGAGGCCCGCTGGCCTGCTGAATTTCTGCCGACCCGACTTCTCTTCCCGCCTCGGCTGCCGATGTCCGCCGCTCCGCTGCACGCGCCGATCGCCAAGCCGACGTCGATGCGGGTCGCGGGGCGCCCACGCCCGGCCCCCCAAGGGGGGACCCCTCCGGGGCCTTCGGGGGGGCGCGTCCGGCCAGAGGCCCCCGGGAACCCGAGGCGGCGGGCCAGGCACGGCGACGAAGAGCAGGACGGAGAGCACCCGGCGATCATCGAGGGTCGATGTCTTTTGGGGGTGAAAAAACAATCAATCAAGACGCGTGCATGTGTACGTCCTCAGAAGAGGCGAAGCCAACAGCAACAACATCAACAACACCAACAACAACAACAGCAACAACAACAACAATCAGTATAAGACTGTTTGCTCTTGCTTGCCCGTGTGTCATTCAAAACGAGTCCCCCACGCCCTCGATACCCGCCTTCTTTGTCTTCGATCACACCCCCTTTGGGGGGATTATTTCTCTTTGCGGGGGGCGGCGGGCTTTGATAGGCGGGCAAACCCGCACGGGCGGACAATCCTTCGTGGGCGTACATGTTCCCGCCATTGGAATTGGTGTGGGCCCTGCAAAAAGAGGAGGGGGAGAACGAGGGAGGGCGGGAGGAAGGGAGGGGAAGGGACGAAGGAAGAGGGAAAACGCCAGGAGAGAAGGAGCGAAGAGGGGGCGGTTGATAAGAGGCAGAGAGAGAGAGAGAGAACAAAAAAAGAGAGGTAGAGAAAAAGAGAAAGAGAGAGGGGAGAGAGAGAGAGAGAGAAAGAAAGAAAGAGGGAGGGAGGAGGCAGGAGAGGGGAGGGAGAAAAGAGGAGGGAAAGGAGGGAGAGGGGATAGGGCAGAGAGGCATAAGGATGAGGGAAGCGAGGAGGGAGAGAGAAGGGAGGAGAGGAGGAGGGAGAGGGAGGAGGAGCAGGAAGGTAAGAGCGTGAACGTTCGAGGAAGTCCTGGGCGAAAACGCCATTCCTGAAGGAAGTCTCGGGCGGGAGCCCACGACGGGCGGGCAATCCCCAGATGGGCAGGTCGGGCGGGTTGGGACAGTCAAGCGGGATGCCAGAGTATGGCGAGAGCGCGATTCCTAAGTAAATTGTGACGGCGTCCTTGGCGCAGCGTGCTTCCTGAGCGTCGAAAGCGCGATTTCTGGATAAATTGCATGGGAGTCACAGGCGAGAGCGCAATTCCTGAATAAAATGTGAAAGGTTCTCTGGCGGGAGCGGGGGTCTGGAGTAAATTGTGAGGAAGTCTTGATTCAATTGCGAGGAAGTCTCAAGCGGGAGCGCCGTTCCTAAGTAAATTGTGAGGAAGTCTCAGATGGGAGCGGGGGTTCATATTAAATTTGAGGAAGTCGTTCATAGGCGGGAGCACCGATCTTTAGTAAATTTGGAGGAAGTATCAGGCGGGAGCCGTTGAACATTATTAATTCTAAAGAATAATTATTGTTGGGACCCCTGGTGCACGGCCCCCCTGCGCCGCCTAGGCCGCAGCTACATTTTCATCATTTTCGTGAGGAAGCCTCAGGTAATTCGATGTGATCAAGATCCGGTTGTTTTGTTCCCCCCCGCTTTCCCTTGCAAAAAACACTATAAAATGACATTTCTTGTTCTAATATAATCAAATTTCAAGAATCCCTTGCAAAAAATAAGGTAAAGTGGACATTCGCGCGCGCAAGACGAAATCCTTCCAAAAGCTTAGTGTTCGGAGCGATTTCAACATAAAAACATCAAAAAACCAATGGTTTTTCAACAAAAAAATGTCAAAATCTCATCCCGCGCGCTCTTGCGGATTCGTAGGAAACCCAACACTTTTTAAACATTTCTGTCAAACGGGCTTTTGCGAGCAACTTTTTCGAACTTCTGCGACAACGGTTGCGCACCTGCCAGGGCCATCATCCCTGTCAAATAATACCATGCGGGACAGATTCGTTTTTTCTTCGCGCGCGCACGCCGAAATCTCCAAAAACCATTGGGTTCTTTCCCATCATCCCAGGAACTTGACCCAAAAATGTGACCAACTCCGCTCTCTCTGTCTCTCTCTCTGTCTGCTCTCTGTCTCTCTCTCTGTCTCTCTGTATTATGTATTGTATGGCACAATTGCACCATGCTGGGCACATGCGCGCCCCGAATAAGTGACCAAGTTCTGTGGGTGTGTACCCCACGCCAGTGTAGTAGCCACGGTCGTCCGCACGCCACGAAGTGAAGTGTCCCAACGTCATAGGGCGGGAAGCTGGGTTTGGGTGGTCGCGAAGAGTCGTTTGGATATTTGGTAGAGCTTGTAATGCCCCCCCACGAAGTGGGGGTATTGCCTGGTGTCGTATGAAAACCCTGGCACTGGGGAGAACACCACGCGTTCGGGTAAAATGATTGTTGTTGTTGTTGTTGTTGTTGTTGCTGCTGCTGCTGCTGCTGCTGCTGCTGCTGCTGTTGTTGTTGTTGTTGTTGTTGTTGTCGTTGTCGTTGTCGTTGTCGTTGTCGTTGTCGTCGTTGTCGTTGTCGTTGTCGTTGTTGTTGTTGTCGTTGTCGTTGTCGTTGTCGTTGTCGTTGTCGTTGTTGTTGTTGTTGTTGTAATCCGGGGGGCCAGGGGCACAGTTTGAGCACGAATATTGTCCCTGTGAAAGGAGGGTGCGAGCGTCGAGGGGCACACTTCGATCTGGGAAACAACTGCATGCACCGGTGATGGGGGGATCAACACTTGTTGTTCTGCAGAGGTGAGAGTTCAACAACACCAACCACAAAGCGTGGACCCCAAGAGGTCCGTCTCTCCATCCCGAGTCATCCGGCTTACGGCCCCCGAGGCCCGAGGCCCGGCGACGGCACCCAGAGGCCGCAACTCGGGAACCACTTCTGTCCCGAGTTTGTCAACGCTCCGGGGGTCGAACACACAGAACCGCCCACGGACCCCCCGGGGAACGGCGCGAGAAGGCCCTGCTCCTGCGAGCTCCGAGGCCCCCGCTCGTGGCCCCTCCGCGGGGTGCCCCCTCAGGCCAGGCGCTGGACGCGCTGCGCACGCACCTGAGCGAGGACTGCCCGGGCGCCCCCCCCCCCCCGGGGCGGGCGCGTCGAGCCACGGGCACCGAGCTGCCGCGTTTCGGCGCCGCCGACCCTCGACGGGCGTCTTCCGCACCCTCCGCGCGGCAGGTGCCGCGCTGCCTCGGCCGCCGCCGCGGACGCAGCGGCGGCCACCGTCGAGGCCGCAGGGACGGTCGCGGCGGCCGCCGCGGCCGCATCGCGACGGCACCCTCCGCGCGGAAGGTGCGGAGGGTGCAGGTCGAGGGGGAACGGGCAACCAGTGTATTCTTTCGTCAGTTCCCAGAGATTTCGTCGGTCCCCATGGGTTTGTGCAGCCCGGGGATGCTTTTCCGAGGCCGCGCCTCGTCAGGAGCGTTCCGGGGGTGCCCGGATCGTCCATGGACGATCCGAGCTCGTCCATGGACGAGCCCTCCGCCGGTGTGAGTATTTGTGTCCATCCGGATGTTTCTGTACGATTTCGGCAATCGAACTGACGCGTTCCAAGAAGGGCCTCGCCTTCGAGGATAGAAGGAGCTTTTTTTTCCTCGGTGGAAGTCCGGCGGGCCAGCGGAAGGCCGGCGGGCTGGCGGAAGGCGGCGGAAGCAGAACGAGGCCGCTTTCGCCGGCGGAAGCCAGCAGAAGGCTGGCGGAAGGCGGCGGAAGTACAAGATGTGCCCCCAAGATGGAGGGGAAAAAACACACAGACACAAGTCACCGTTGACTCCCAGGAAGAAATGGGGACGTATGGGACATGGGGGGGGAAGACGAAAGCCCAGAAAATTATCCCGGCAAAGCAACCTAACAGCGATGTGTAGGAGCATATCTGGAAGCATTCCCCTTAAGATTCAGATGAGAATCCTGTTGTAGAATTCTGCTGTTCTCGCAGTCGTAGTCGCATTCGCGATGGCAGTCGCAGGGGCAACGGCAGTCGCAGTCCCAGCCTCAGCCTCAGCCTGCCTCAGCCTCAGCCTCAGCCTGCCTCAGCCTCAGCCTGCCTCAGCCTCGGCCTCAGCATCAGCCTGCCTCAGCCTCACCCTGCAGCCTCAGCCTCAGCCTCAGCCTCAGCCTGCCTCAGCATCAGCCTGCCTCAGCCTCAGCCTCAGCCTGCCTCAGCCTCAGCCTCAGCCTGCTTCAGCCTCAGCCTCAGTCTGCCTCAGCCTCGGCCTCCTCAGCCTGCCTCAGCCTCAGCCTGCCTCAGCCTCAGCCTGCAGCCTCAGCCTCAGCCTCAGCCTGCCTCAGCCTGCCTCAGCATCAGCCTCAGCCTCAGCCTCAGCCTCAGCCTCCTCAGCCTGCCTCAGCCTCAGCCTCAGCCTGCCTCAGCCTCAGCCTCAGCCTGCTTCAGCCTCAGCCTCAGTCTGCCTTCAGCCTCGGCCTCAGCCTCAGCCTGCCTCAGCCTCAGCCTCAGCCTCAGCCTCAGCCTCAGCCTCATCAGCCTCAGCCTCAGCCTCCTCAGCCTCAGCCTGCCTCAGCCTCAGCCTCAGCCTCAGCCTCAGCCTGCTTCAGCCTCAGCCTCAGTCTGCCTTCAGCAGCCTCGGCCTCAGCCTCAGCCTCAGCCTCAGCCTCAGCCTCAGCCTGCATCAGCCTCAGCCTCAGCCTCAGCCTCAGCCTCAGCATCAGCCTGCCTCAGCCTCAGCCTCAGCCTCAGCCTCAGCCTCAGCCTCAGCCTCAGCCTGCCTTCAGCCTCAGCCTCAGCCTCTGCCTCTCAGCAGCCTCGGCCTCAGCCTCAGCCTGCCTCAGCCTCAGCCTGCATCAGCCTCAGCCTCAGCTCAGCATCAGCCTGCCTCAGCCTCAGCCTCAGCCTCGCCTTCAGCCTCGGCCTCAGCCTCAGCCTCAGCCTGCCTCAGCCTCAGCCTGCATCAGCCTCAGCCTCAGCCTCAGCCTGCCTCAGCATCAGCCTGCCTCAGCCTCAGCCTCAGCCTGCCTCAGCCTCAGCCTCAGCCTGCTTCAGCCTCAGCCTCAGTCTGCCTTCAGCCTCGGCCTCAGCCTCAGCCTGCCTCAGCCTCAGCCTGCATCAGCCTCAGCCTCAGCCTCAGCCTGCCTCAGCATCAGCCTGCCTCAGCCTCAGCCTCAGCCTCAGCCTCAGCCTCAGCCTCAGCCTCAGCTTCAGCCTCAGCCTCAGCCTCTGCCTCAGCCTCAGCCTCAGCCTCAGCCTCAGCCTCAGCCTGCAGCTCAGCCTCAGCAGCCGGCCTCAGCCTCAGCCTGCCTCAGCCTCAGCCTGCCTCAGCCTCAGCATCAGCCTGCCTCAGCATTCAAAATGTGGCCCGGGAGTGGAGCTCTGGGAACTCGAAGAGCACGAAGTGGCCTACAGTTGGCTCCGGGCATTCAAAATATGGCCCGGGAATGGAGTTCTGGGATTTCGAAGGCCACGAAGTGGCCTACAGTTGGCTCCGGGCATTCAAAATGTGGCCCGGGAATAGAGTTCTGGGACCTCGAAGACCACGAAGTGTGTAATTGTTGACTAAAAAATAATCCCCCGCACCCTCCCCCGGATCGCGCCCAGACCCCCCTGGGGCGTCATGATGCTCTCTTTTGACCCTACTAGAAACCTATCAGTCTTCACTGTTAGGTAATATTGGTAAATCTGGGAAGTCCTGGGATGTGTGCTTATTCATTCGTGTGCCCTTGGGCCCTTTCGAAGAGAGGACAACGTTTTTTTTGGGGGGGGGTCGGGGTTCCAGGAGCTGCCAATGTGGGGGCTCTGGGGCGACGGGCTGCCCCGCGGGATCAGAAGGGGTGGGGTCCTTCTTCGGGCAGGCGCACAACCGCGCGGGGAGCCTCGATTGGAAGACAGTGCGCGGACACACACGCACACACACACACACATTCACACACACACACACACGCACACACACACACACACACACACGCACGCACGCACGCACGCACGCACGCACGCACGCACGCACGCACGCACGCACGCACACACACATGATTCTTTATGCATATATTTATATGTATATATAGTGTGATGTGTTCTGGTGTGTTCATCGCAGAGAAGGTTGCGTATGAGGCCATGAACACGACGTGCATGTAAAGGCATGTGGGCGCATGTACGGGGTGGCGGAAGGTTTCTGGAAGGATTCCCGAAGCCAACCGTCAATATCAATACGGGGTAGCGGAAGGTTTCCGGAAGGAATGCGGAAACCAATCGTCAACATCAATTATGTTGGCGGAAGCTCGCGGAAGGTCGGCGGGAGGATGCGGAAGTAAAACAAGAGATGGAACAAACATTAGTTATAGATTTCCGAAATCCTTCATGTATGCGGTGGGAGCGTTTGTTGAGGAATGTGCCCAGTGGGCTTCAGACCCTGGAGGATTCCTTGGCTGATGAGGTCGGCAGTGGTATCCATGGCCAATCCACGATTGGTCGCAAAGATGTGTCTGATTAGGGGAACGAACAACGACATAAACATAACAACTCGGAGGTCCGCGCGGATTTCTCGCATCGGCGCTGGACCCCCCTGGCGGCGCCTCCGGCGCCGTCCGGCGCCGTCCCTGGCGCGCTCCGCCTGCCAGGGAGGGGGGGTCCAGCGCTGATGCGAGAGATGCGCGCGGACCTCCGAGTTGTTCTGTTAACGTCGTTTTTCGCTCCCCCAATAATGTTTCCGAGGGCCGTGTTGCAGTTCTTGGGAGCCCGATCGGAGGCTTTTTGGGCCTTGCGCGTGGCGTGGAGGAGCCTCTCAGTGGCTTCTCGGACGGTTTCCGAAGTTTCAGGGGCTACTTCGGCAGTGTTGGGACGCTCTCGGAGGGCCTGCAGGGGTCCTGGGGGTCTCTCGGGCGCTTCCTGAGCCGTTCCCGTAGCCTCTTGTACCCCGCGGGCGCCTCTGGGGCGCCTCTTGTTTTTGGGGGGAACCTCGTGGTAACCTCTTGAGCTGTCTTCGCGGTGGTCAGGAACAGCTTCTTGTGTGCATTGGGCCCCCAGAAGACATGGGCAAATTCAGACTTGGAAGCCCTTGCCAATATCATATGTGATTGTGGTTCTGCACGCCAATCAAAGTCCCAACGCAAAAGCCTCAACGGTGCCGTCAAAGGCCCCCCACGTGCATGCATGCATGCATGTGTGTGGGTGTGTGTGTGTGTGTGTGTGTTTTTGCTTGTTTGTTTGTTTGTTTGTCTGCGTGTGTGCGCATCCGAAGCCACTTGGCTCAAGTGTCTCAAGCATGTTCTTGTGTGAAGTTGCATGTTTCACAGATGCCTGGAGCTCTTATCACCCCCAAGCAGCATGTGCAGACAATCAAAGATGCCCTTCGTTCCGCTGGGTTGCAAACAAATTCAAAGGTCGCACCGCATGGCTTGTGCCTTGCTGTCTTGCTGAAAGGCGCTGCCGCCGACGCATTCGCGTCATTGTCGGCTGACGCAGACCTCGTCGGGTCTGCAGTTTTGCCACTGGCTTTAGTATCGCTTTTGCGTTGCGGAGATGTTCGCTGGGACCCTCTTTTCGGCCGTACGGACTGGGGGACTGTCTCGCCAAAGGGTGCGGCTGGTTTGCCACCGATGTCCGCTGCCTCAGATGCCTGTCTCTTCACATATTCGGAGCTCTTCGCTGGCGTTGGTGGCTTCCGCATCGCGCTGGACTCGCTTGGCGGGAGATGCGTGTTCGCGTCGGAGCTCGAACCTGAGGCCGCAGCGGCGTACGCCGCCAACTTTGGGCATGCGCCCTGCGGAGACATCACCGAGATTGCCTCCGACATGATTCCGTCACACGACGTCCTCACGGCGGGCTTCCCTTGCCAGCCCTTCTCAAGCGCCGGCGGCCGGCGGGGCCTCGGCGATGCCCGCGGCACGCTCTTCTGGGAGATTGTGCGGGTGGCGGCCGCGGCCCAGCCGTCCACGCTGGTATTGGAAAACGTGCCAAATCCGAGCATTTTCTTTGGGTGGAGGGCAAAGGGTGAAATCTGAAATGCCGTTTCGATGGATTTTCGATTTTTGAATCTGCAAAAGGTGAATCACAAGACGGATTGATGTTCGAGGTACAAAAGCCCATCTGGATTTCACCCTGAGCCCTCCACCCTAAGAACATGCTCAGCACATCTGATGAAGATGGGCGACGGGCACGTGTTGCACGAGATGCTCGCGGCCCTCACGGATCTCGGCTACCACCTCAGGGTGCAGCTGGTGAGCTCTGCGGCGTTGGTTCCGCAGGAGCGCGTGCGTCTCTACATCGTTGGCTTCCGGCGTGATCTTCTCGACGCGGCCGAGAGGTTCACGTGGCCATCGTTTCTTATGCCTCGCCAGCAGACAGTGCGTGACATTCTGGAGCCGCTGGGCCCTGAGCGGCTTGCGCAGTATCAGCTGCAGGAGGCACAGTGGAGCGCGCTCTTGGCATCCGAGCAATTCCTGCGGAGCCCCTCCTGTCGCATTGCTCGGTTGGGCGGCGCTGCCCGCACGCTCGTTGGCAGCCACTGGAAGGTGCTGGGGGGCCGCACCGAATTCCGAAGAAGAAAAAGAGCCACAAATATAAACTTTCGGCGCTCTACGCGGATTTCTCGGATCTGCGCTGGGCCCCCCAGGCGGAGGGCGCCGCCCCTGGCGCCCTCCGCGCGCCGGGGAGGGGGTTTGGCGCGGATCCAAGAACGCCGCGCGGAGCGCCGAAAGTTTATGTTTATGCCGTTGTTTTTGTTCCTCTAGGATTCGTGCCAGTTGCTGGCCTTGGCCAAGAGAAATCTGAGGATCTACTGAGCGCTGTCGTTGCGTGGTCGAAGACAGGTGTCGGTCGCCCCCCTGCCCCACGCTTCTACACTGAGAGGGAAGCTGCCAGGTTGCAGGGTTTTCCAGACTCGAAGAAGAAAGCACGCCATAAACATAAGCTGTTGGCGCTCAGCGCGGGGACTCCTTGGATCCGCGCTGGGGCTCCCTGGCGGCGCCTCTGGCGCCGCCCCTGGCGCGCGGGGAGGGGGGTCCAGCGCAGATGCAAGAAATCCCAGCGGAGCGCCAAAAGTTTCTGGTTATGCAGTTGTTTCTTCTTCTACGGACAGCTTTCAGCTTGGAGTTGGCCGCGGGATGTATCGGCTGCTTGGTAACGCCGTGTGCCCTCCTGTCGTCCGGGCCATTGCTGAACAGGCCCTCATTGCGCTGGAGCTGTTGCCGCAGCCTTCTCCGAGCGAGGCTGCCCTCGGCCAGTTCACACAGCGATGTGAAGAGCTGCTGCCGTGGGAGATGATGGACTGTCTGTACAGCGTCACTCCAGTCGGAGCGATTTTGACGCAAGACCATCCTCCTTCCATTTCTGGTATGACGGAATCTTCACCGATGGCCACGCCGAAAACGCATATTGCGGCGGTGAAGGCCAGCTCCAAGGCTGCCGCCATGGCAGAGGGGAGCGATGAGAAAGAGAGCACGGATGCGGCTTGGTCGGCAGTGTGCGTGGAGATCCAGTCTCATTTTGTAAAGCGGCCTCCCAGTCTTCTCTTTTGCGGTAGTTGCAACTGTACGTATTCGCTTGTTGCAGGTGAAGTTGGGCGAGCAGCAACAACAAAAATCAAACACTACAATGCCTTGCAATCGACCTGCTGCCCGCTTGCGAGCGCACCAGGTGCTGTAGTCACTTGTGACTTCCCCCTCGCTCCTCTTCCTCTTTCCGATTCGAAAGTCCAGTAAGCCCGCAAGTCCCACAGGTACACCAGGTCCCATGGGTCACCTTAGCTGCTGGTCGGGGGCCTTGCTGGGGTAATCATGCTTGCCGTGTTGCCAGAACTCCTCTCCAGGGAAGGAGTTTTCTGTGCCCCGATCCAACCGTCCAGGATTTCGTGGTCTCCGAGAGGAGTAGGCGGAGAGGGAGGAGGAGGAGAAGGAGGAGGTTGGGGAGCTGTTGCAGCACTTGCAGGAGCTCCCCAGTTCCAGCTCCAGTTCCAGCTCGAGCCCCCAGATTCAGCTCGAGCCCAGCTCCAGCCCCAGCCCCTTGAAACTTGAACCCTGAGGACCTCTTCGTTCCTGTTGAAGCCGATAAGCCCCGTATGCCTTTCAAACTTAATGAGACGTGTGACCGTATGACCCCCATGAACAATACAAACCTCGTGCGCCCTAGAGCCTTCGGGAGACCTTCCAGACCCGTGGCGCCCGCCATCTCTAAAAGTTTTGGGGCCGCACCGCCCAACTCCCCCATTCCCAATTGACGGCGATGGCGGTCGCAGCGAACCTCGCTGGCGCCCTGCGACCAAGATTGCAACGGCAAAGCGTATCGAACTGGTAACATGCTGTATTATACATGTATCTATAGAGATGTAGCTATCCTCGTATATCTATATACATATGTGTGCATAACTATCAGCCAGCGTTGTTTCCAAATAGATGAGACGACTCAAATCAAGAAATACGAGGACTCAAGCATGCTTGCAATCCGCAGCTTAGCAAGCAAACAAGCAAGAACAAGCAAGCAAGCAAGCAACCAAGCAGGCATAGGCATAGGCGTAGGCATGGGAGTTAGGGGGGAGGCATAGGCATAGACAGGCATAGCCATAGGAATTAGGGGGGGCATAGGAATTAGTGTGGGGTTTGGGGGGGCAACGGACCAATTAGTAGGGTTTGAGCTAGGACTCCTATAGGGCAAGCCTGTTTGGAGAAGATAGCGGTTTTCTGAACGCCACACTAATGCAGGGTCCCGGGTGGGCCCTCTCCGGGGTCTCTTGAAGCCGGTTTCAGGTTGTCTTGGCGGCCTCCTGGGCCGTCTTGGGGCCCTCTGAGGCCGTCTTGGTCCCTCAGGGCAATCTGGGGGGCCTCTTGAGGCTGTTCTGGGGAAATATATAAGCGTGTGTGTGTATATATGTGTATGCAGGCATACGTAAATCTGTCAATTGATCTTTTTATTCTTCTATATATATATATATATTCAATACATTTGTATCGAGACGTTACATTATTGCTTCCTCTCCTTCTTCTTCTTCTTCTTCTTCTTCCGACATGTTTGCCATCCGGGCGGGGTCGAAAACCCCTCCCCAAAAACCCGGATTCTCGGGATTCAGGGCCCCCTGGACGTTTTCGGAAAAAGTCCACTGGCAGTTCCAGGTCTCCACGGGCGCCTTGCCGGGCCTTGCCAGCAGACCCAGAAAGCCCCAAGACAGCACAAGAGCGCTACACGAGTGGCCTAGATTGCCTCCGAGACGCCCGAAGAGGCCCTCAAGAGGACCCCCAAGAGGCATACATAGCTCCATCCGTTTAGGACAACTTGAATGTATGTCATATTCATAACTTTCACCTCGCAGTGTCCACGATGGCCAAAGAGCCTCCCAAAATTGCCCCAAGACGTCCCAAGACGCCTTCAACAGAGCTCTAAGACGACCCAAGAGGGCCCGAAGACAGCCCAAGAGAGCTCCAAGAAGACCCAAAGGAGGCTCAAGAGGTTCCCGAAAAGCTCCCAAGGGAGGCCCAGGAGGGTCATGGGAGGCCCCCTAGACAGCCCCGGACGGCCCAGAGGATCCAAGGTGGCCCCGGGGGCCGCCAGGGGCCCGCAAACGGCCAAAAAGGACCCCAAAAGGACCCACAAGAAGGCCTGGTCGCGACAGGCTCGAGGGAGCCCACAAAGGCCTTCAACACGGGCCCAAGAAGCCTCCAGAGGTCCCCGAAGCCCCTGAGAGGCAGTCGTGCAAGCGGAAGGTGATTAGTTCCCGCGTCGTTGCTAGCTCTCCGCGTCTCGGAACGCTCGTCCCACCAGGATTTCGCGACGTCGATTTCCCACCGAGGTGTTCTTGCCATTCATTCGCGTTGCTTCCCGTTGCGCCACCGGGCAACCTAGGCCACGATCGAGCCCATGTGGTGGCTACGCGATTGTTCCCTGAACGTAATTTTGCACGGCAATGCGTTTTCAAAGAGGCGTCTCCGTGCGAATGCTACAAATTGACCCGAACCCCGGGTTCGCAGCAAAGTTGACCAGAAATCCTTCATTAGCGAGCACGCGCTTCGGTGCATTTTCCAAGAATGCCGTACTTCAGCGCGCCCCGTTGCGACCCGCTGCCCCTTCTTGGCTTCGGAGCGATGCTCGGCTGAACGTTGCCGTTTGTTGATTACGTGACAATTGCATCCTTGCAGTGGCATTGCTTCGTGTTATGCGGGATTGCTTGGCATTGCGTTGTTTTGCTTGGCATTCGTTCGTATGGCTTCCCATTGCTTCTCATGTGTGCGGGGCGCAAGAGTCCACCAGGAGCTACCAGCTACGGCCATGTTTGGTCATTTAGATATCCCACATTCCGCCTGCACGTCGGACTTGAAAGACCAAGGAGCGTGGCACGAAGTGCCACTGCAGTCTTGTGTATATATACATATAATGCATGTGTACACACTCAACCCGCATAGTAAGGATGGGCACCCTTCCCAAGGGTACCCTTGCATCCTTGCATCCTCGGTCCACCCTTGGCCACTTTCGTTGGCCGCGCTCCGCTCGAAAAGATTCGAAACGGCCTCCCAAGGCCCTTGCATTTCTATCGTGCGTCCCCATGATAGGAGTCGACTGTATATATCCGTGTCTCTCCCTCTCCCTCGCTCTTCCTCTCTCGCTCTCGCTCTCCCTCGCTCCACCTGGTGGAGGCGGATGTCGCAGGAGGCACGCTGACACATACAACAATTCCCCTCGATACTGGGATCTACGTTTGGTATAAAATCGACCAATAGTCACAATCAGTTTAAAGAGTTTCCCATATTTCCCTTCGGGGAAGGGTTTCTCAATGTTCCCTCTCAATAAACACCCCCTCCACAAGTCGACCGGCAACCAACCTGGACCAATGAGCTGGCCCCCCCGAGCCCGGAGAGGAAGAGGACATGCTGGCCGAGGGGCTGGCCAGCATCTTCGGCCGCCTGCAGATCGGGGCTCGCTGCGCCGTGGTCCCCCAGCCCGCCCAAGCATCTCGGGTGGCCGGCCCTCCTCCTCCTCCTCCTCCTCCTCGTCCTCCTCCTCGTCCTCCTCCTCCTCCCCCTTTTCCCTCCCCCTCCTTTCCCTTCCTCTCCTCCTTCTCCTCCTCCTGCTCCTCTTCCTCCTCCTCCTATGTCTCCTCCTCATTCTCCTCCTCCACAACCCGACAAGGCGGGGTTCAATGTCGAACGCCGCAAGAGGCCCGGAATCGGCTTATGTCGAACGGTCTGAGCCATTTTCAAGCCGCGATTGCTTAATATTGAATGATCCACGCGGTGTCAGAAAGCCGATGCCGTCACGACACGAAGCTGCCGTCGCTTAGATGCAAGTCCTGGGATGAGATCAAGTTCAGTATCGGCGCTGAGATTCCCGTGGTCGCAAGCCGGTCTGAGGCATGATCAACCTCGTTCGAGTCCGTTGAATCCCGCCCAGCCTTGCTTATGATCTGACGAACCCCCAGGCTTACATGCCTTAATCCAGTTTAGCGCCCCTTGACCGGGCTTAGCAGCCCTGTCGTTCCCAGACATGCGATGTCTCGATTTTTTCCATACGGGGTCCCTGGAAGTCCTGCCCCTTCCCCCGGGACCGGTTTTTCCTGCGTCGTTTCTTGAAGGTCCCGAGGCCCAGCGAGGGCCCCCCGAGGCCGAAAGCGGCCAAACATTTGCCGCCCTGATTTTTCTACGGCGCGATCATGTCTGGGTTCCGTTCTCACGAATACCCTTCAGAAGTTGCCTTCTAACCTAGCCGAGTGGCCCCTGAGGGGCGGCCGAGGTGCGGCATCCCCAAGGGGCACACTTGTCTTCGCAGTCGTCGGACGACGTCTCCTTCGCGCAAGCACTGGAGGCCGCGCGGGCCCGGACGTCGACGCGGGCGATCGCAGTCGGACCTTCTCCTCCTCCTCCTCCGCCTCCTCCTCCCTCCGCCTCCGCCTCCTCCTCCCTCCGCCTCCTCGTCCATGATTTTTCCCTGTGGCCAGCTCCTCCCTGTCGCACCCCGAGGCCAGTCGGAGGGGCGGGCCGGGCGCGTCGCCCGAAACTTCCCCACCGTGTATGACCCTGAGGCTCGGAAGTTGGCAGCGGCTTCACGGGTGGAGGGCGGGCGGTTTTCGAAGTGTGGCTCTCGCCGCAGCGCCACGCACATTCGTTTTGAAAAGTGTAGGGCTTTTGACGGGTTCAGGGTGGGCCGTTTTCAAGATGTGGCTATCGCCTCAGCGCCGCGCACACTCGTCTTAAACCTTTGAAGGGTTTCACGGATTGAGGGCGGCTCCTTTTCAAGATGTGGTTCTCGCAGTCGTGTCGCGCACACTCGTCGTAAACAGTTGCAGGGATCTCACGGATTCCCATGGTTACATACCGGAAAGTACGTATTGGAGCGGCTCAGGCTTGTCGGGGCACATCAGGCACGTTGATTCGCAATGTTGAAGCCCCAGATGGTTTTCTGGCTCGGTTCAGAATCGTGAAGACGCAACAGACAGGCTGATTCGTGGCGTTGGAGTCCTGGGATGGTGTTTTGGCACGTGTCAAGATCCTCAAACGGTGGTCTCCCAACGGGGCACTTCCCTCAGCAGAAAAGAATATTTGTAGGGGCTTGTGACGTGGGAGCTTGGAGGGAGGGTCGATTCCCAAATCGTTGATGAGTTGTGGGTGCCTTGGCTCGCTCGCTCGCTCCCGCTCCTCCTCCGCCTCCTCCCCCTCCTTCTCCCAGAGGTCGCGATGCTGCAGGGCTTTGACTCCCCAACTCCCCAACCGATGTGTTAGCGTTGACGCAATGGTTCGAGCGAGTCACGGCCAAGTCTACCCTTGATGAGCTGCCTCAGGAGAGAGTGGTGTAGCTCGGCACTGCGTCCTTGGACGAGGGGGCTCCTGCCCCATGTGGTCAGTTTCGGTCTCGGCCTCCTCTTCTTCTCCTCCGCATGCTGGTCGCCACGCCCCCAGAGCGCTCGAGGAGACCCTCGACCTGCACATACTAGCCGCACCCTCCGCGCGGCAGGTGCTGCGCTGCCGCGGCCGTCGGCCGCGGCCGCATCGCGGCGGAACCTTCCACGCGGAAGTTGTGGAAGGTGGAGGAGGAGCAGGAGGAGGAGGAGGAGGTGGAGGAGGAGGAGGAGGAGCAGGAGGAGGAGGAGCAGCAGGAGGAGGAGCAGGAGGAGGCGTCGAGCAAAAGTGGGCGGCCGAGGTCTGCCACCGGCTCCCGCTGCACGCGGCCGTGCGCCGCTTCGTGCGGGGCATGGAGGACTGCGACCCCGCGCTCGTGGCGGACTGGCCGCCCGGAAAGGCCCTCGCGCTGTTCCCGCTGCTCGGCAGGCGCGGACAGGACCGGCCCGCCCCCCTTCGGCGGGGTGCTATACGACAATGCTCTTGGGGTCGATGCTCCGGCCTGGGCGGTCCTGCGCCGCAGGCTGCAGCAGCGGCCTGCACCTTGGAGTGGGCCGGGGGTCTGTGGCCCAGCACTGGTGGGGGCCAGCAGGGAGGGGGGGGGGCAGGTTCGAGGCTGTGGGTTCGAGGAGTTGTCTTAAATGCTTTTTGGGTCGGTTCGCATTTCTCGGCCTCCAGGTGCCGTTTTCGGGCTCCGGGGACCGACTTTATTTGCCTTCACCCTCCCCCTCTTGACAGATTTTTCCTCGGGGCCCAACCAGCTCAGACCCACTGCCCGCCTCCAGGCCCCCCCGTCGGTGCTGCGCTACCATCGCACTTCTGGGTGGATGCTTCGGCAGGGGCGGTGGGTGCAGTGCTGCAGAGTGCAGCATCGGCCTTTCTCCCTCCCGATTGAGGCATCCCGGATCTTCTCCGCTATCCCTTTTCATTCGGCTCGTGACGCGAGCGGCACGCGCGCGGGCTAGCGGGAGCAGCATCGAAGCATGCACGTCCGCGGTGGCCCACTGCTCCTCCCAGGGGCCCTGGCTGGGGCGGCCGGCCCAGGCACCCCTGTGTTCCTCGCTCTTGCCGCTGCGCGGGCCCCGAGAGCTCTCGACCCCTTCCCCGCTCTCGGGCGTTGCGTACTGGGGGGCGGGGGGATACGTGAGGGATGAGAGAGAGAGAGGTGCGCCTGTCGTGCCCCAAAGGGAGCCCGCAGGGGGCCTCCTTTGGCCCAAAAGGGGCACCAAGCACCGCCCCACCCGCGGCCCGTGCCTCACCCCCAATGACCCCCGGCGTCACGATTTGTTCCATGACGTCGACCCGCAGGTCTCGACCCACTCCCCGGGACCGGCTGTCCACCCCGAGTCGTGTTTGGGCGGCCCCGCAGCCCGGCGAGGACCTCCAGAGGCTGAAAACGGGCGAATCACCTCGCGTCGTGATCTTGAGGGGGTCTGGGCCCCGAGCTGTCTTTTACTGCCCCTGGTTCCCAGAAACGGCCCCCCGGAGGCCAGAGACACGTGTCGACAGACCGGGCGCCCGCAGGCTGGCCCGCAGGAGCCGCTCCGGGGCGTGCAGGAACGCCGTGAGAAACGGCCGCGACGCCCGCCACATCCCCATGTATGATCGCGTGGGAAGCAAGTGAAGCCCGGCGCGACCCCAAACAGGGCATTTCCTTTTGAAAATGATCCCGGAGCGAACTCGACGAGACGAACCCGGCGCGCCCGCGCAACTGGAATCCACAATGAGCTTGCAGAGCCGGCGCAGCTTTGAGGGTGGAGGGAAGAGGGAGGAATAGGACGATGCGATCGATTTCGCGCGCAGCTTGGTCAACCCGAGGAACCCAGGGAACCCGAGGAACCTCTGAGGAACGGGCAGAGTAACAATACGAGACACCGAGGGCGGGAACCTGGGGAACCCGAGGAACCTCCGGGAAACGGGCAACGTAACAATAGGAGGCACCTGGGCGGGGAGCCCGAGGAACCTGAAGAACCCGAGGAACTTCTGGGCAACGGGCAACCTATAAGAATACGCGGCACCAACCTTTTACACAACAAAAACCCTTTCAGCAAGCCTACTTGGGGAGTCACGACGGGAGGTTCTTAGCAGTTTTGGGCCCCTAGGAGCCCTCGCTGGGCCTCGCGAGACCGTCAGAAAACGACCCAGGATGAAAGACCAGTCCCAGGGAACGTGTCGGGACTTCCATGGGCCCCGTATAGTAAAATAAAGTCAATCGCTATAATAATGATACTAGTAATAAGAATAATAGCATTTCTAATAGTAATAAGCATCATCGTACTAATCATAATAATACTAATCGTAATAATCACAAGAATGATAGTCATCACAATACTAATACTAATATTAATAACAAGAATCATAATAATCAGACTAATAATACCACTGGTAATTATCTGAATAATAATAATCATACTATTAACAATAGTCACCACAATAATAATAAGGCGTGGCATGTTTGGGTCCTCCAGACCCGCCGGCTCTCAGAGCTTCCCGAGGTTAACGCGGATCTATCCTCATCCTGCCTCGGCCTCGTGCCTCGCTTCCCCGTCGACGCCGGATGCCCCAGGGAAGCTGTGGGATGTGGACACGCCTCGAGCGTCTTGGCATCGCTCGGACGTGTGCTTTTTCCCTTCGGCGAGGACCGTCGAGGAGCGCCCTGGATCATTCGGCGAAAATGCCACGCACGAGACCGAACAAAAAACACAGGGAACGGACGTCCGAGCGATGCCGAAGCGTGGAGTTTCTGCACAGGTCCCGGCCCCTTCCCCGGGACCGGCGTATCTCGTTCCGAGAGCTGCTGCTTCTTCCTGGCCCGTGGGGCCTGGCGAGTGCCCCTGGAGGCCGAGACTTGCCACAGACTTCCGTCGGGAGGCACGTGCGCGCATCTGGTCGTCGTCTTCCCCCCTCCCTCGCTTCCCTCTCGTCCTCCTCCCGCGCCGTGCCTGGCTCGCATGGCGACCTCTCGATTCGGATTGCTGCCGCCGCCTCGTTGGGTCGGGCAGGGACGGCCGTGCTCCGCACCCGGACGTGCGACGTCCTGATTTGTTTCCAGTGTGGGGCCCCTAGAAGTCACGACTCCTTGCCCGGGATCGGTTTTTCGTCCTGAGTCGTTTCTTGACGGTCCCAGGACCCGGCGAGGGCTTCCAGGGGCCGAAAATTGTCAAAAACTTGCCGTCCTGATTTTTTTTGCGACCATGCTCCTCCCCCCCTCCAGCAAAGCCCGTCGTGCCTTTGGTCGCACTTCGAGGAGGCAGGGGGGTCCTGGGCGTTGCAGGACTGGTGCGTGCGCGAGGTGGCGGGGTCGGCGGCCCTGGACCTGCTGCCCAGCCTCTCTAAGAAGGCCCGGCGGGGGCCGGCAGGGGCCGCGCTGGGCTCGCGACCGCCCGAAGCACCGAGTGGACACATATCTTTGGAAATTCGAAAATTCGAGTAGAGGACCGACTACAGAATCGATTTAATCCAAGATTGATTTACCCGCCGAATGTGCAAGACACGCGCAGATTGTTCGTAGATCGGCGGGACGTTCTGCGGCTTTTTTTTCCGCAGTTTCGCCGAAAAATTCAATTTTGGGGTGAATCGATTCTGTGGTCGATCTCCCACTCGCAAAATTCGGGAACCCGGAAATTCGCCGTACTTCCGAATGTCCTGGACTCCTGGAAAGTCGGGAATTCGGCGAATTTCCGAATTTCCGAATGTCCAGGAATTCCCAGAGATTCAGACATCCATCCCTGCTGAAAGACGAGGACGAGGAGGAGGAGGAGGAGGAGGAGGAGGAGGAAGATGAGGCGCATCCGCCTTCTTCCCCGTCTCCACTCCCTTCCCTCCTCCTTTACACTCTTCCTCCTCCTCCTCCTCCTCCTCCTCCTCCTCTTCGTCGCTGTCCTGGGATTTCGGACAGTCGGCACTTCGGAAATTCGCCGGCGAGCGAGCCCAACCTTCTGCAGGCCCGAGTCTCGCAACGTGGGCGGGGCGAAGGAGGGATGATTCCTTATAGGGCTACGAAGCGCGTGACGGGGTGTGCTAGAATTGGGGCGTGGCCGTGACGCGGGCTCTGCCATTGGGGCCTTGGGTGGAGCTCCCCATCGGGCCACGAAGCGAGCAAGGGGACGGCCAAAATTGGGCGGGACCGCCATGAGGGAGCTGCCATTGGTGCCTTCGGTGCAGCTTACTATCGAAGACGCCTACGGCGAATCACCGCCGCCCCCTGCCCCTTTGGAAGCGCCTCTGTGGCCGACAGCTGGGCCAGAGCTTGGCCAAGCTATCGGGCCAGTTGTTCCCCGAGTCGGCTTGCAAAGCCTTCGGGGAACGCACGGGGGAGCAAGAAGAGGAGGAGGGGGAGGATCAGGAGGAGGAGGAGGAGGAGGAGGAGGAGGAGGCCTCTTGGGCGCCTCTTGGGGCACTCTTGGGGCCTCCTGGGAGCTTCCTGGGGGCCTCTTGGAGGGTTTTCGGGTGCCTATGGGATCTTCTTGGGGGCCTTTTTAGCCGTCTTAGGGCGTTCATGGTTTCTCTGACGCCGTCGGAAGCCGTCTTGGGGGCCTGTCTGGGTCGTCCTGGGGCCCTCTTGGCGCATATCAGGGGCTCTTAGAGGCCATCGTGGGTGTCTTGCAGGCCTCTTGGGCCGTTTTGGGGCCCTCTTGGGGGCTCCCAACCCCTTTCAAACTCTCTCTTGGGCCGTCTTGGAGGCCGTGTTGGACCATCTTGGGCGGACTTGGAGGCCATCTTGGACCATCTTGGAGGCCATCTTGGGCCAACGCGGCCATCTTGGAGGCCATCTTGAGCCGTCTTGGAGGACTTTTTGGGGGATTGAGATCCCTGTCGGGTGGCGGGCGGGACGGGCCGAAGCCCCAGGGGGAGTTCTTTTGGAAAAAGAACCAAAACCAAAACCAAAAGGGTCTAGCACGCCGGGCACCCCTGTGGCAAGCCAACAGGGGGCAGCGGATCGAACACGCCTACGGCGAATCACCGCCGCCCCATGCCCTTTCCGAAGCGCCTATGTGGCCGAACGTTGTGGCCAGAGGCCTGCCAAGCTATCGGACCAGGTGTTCCCCGAATCGGTTTGGAAAGCTTTCGGGGAACACGTGGGGGAGAATGAACATGAAGCGGAAGAGGAAGAGGCCTCTTGGCCCGTCTTGAGCCGTCGGAATGGCGAGAAGAAATAAATGCCAACATCCTTGAAACACTAAGGGACAATGAATGCTTTTGGTCTCTTCGGGCCCTCTTGGAGGACCTCTTGGAGGCCTCTTGGGCCGTCTTGGAGGCCTCTTGGGGGCCTCTTGGGTCGTCTTGGGCAAGATTGACGCCATGTTTGGCCGTCTTGGAGGCATCTTGGGCCGTCTTGGAAGCATCTTGGGGGGCGAAGCTATCGGACCATGTGTTCCCCGAGCCAGTTTGGAGAGCCTTTGGGGAACACGTGGGGCAGGAAGAGGAAGAGGAGGAGAAGGAGGAAAAAGGAGAAGGGGGAGGATGCCTCTTCGGAGCCTCTTGAGGCACTCTTGGGCTCGCTTGGGGCATCTTGGGATCGTCTTGGAGACCATGTTGGGGCTATCTTGGGCTCTCTTCGGGCCTCTTATGGGCCTCTTGGGACCATTTTGGGGCTTCTCGGGAGCCTCTTCGGCCGTCTTATGGCGTTCCTGGCCCGTCTGACGCCGTCGGGAGCCGTCTTGGGGGCCTCTCTGAACCGACTTGGGGTCCTCTTGGGGCGCTTCGGGGCCGTCTTGGAGGCCGTCTCGGGCGTCTTGGAGGTCTCTTGGGCCGTCTTGGGGCCCTCTTGGGGCCATCTTGGGGGCCTCTTGGACCGTCATAGGGCCCTCTTGGAGCCCTCTTGGGCGATCTTGGGGCGATCTTTGGGGCCTCTTGGGCCGTCTTGAGCCGTCGGAATGCCGAGAAGAAGCGAATGTCAAAATCCTTCAAATACCTTGGGAAAATCAATGATTTTGGCCTCTTCGGGCCCTCCTGGAGGACCTCTTGGAGGCCTCTGGGGGGCCTCTTGGGCCGTCTTGGACTCTCTTAGGCCGTCTTGGAGGCCGTCTTGGACCATCTTGGGCGAACTTGGAGGCCATCTTGGACCATCTTGGGGGCCATCTTGGGCCAACGTGGCCATTTTGGAGGCCATCTTGGACCGTCTTGGAGGATTTTTGGGGGAATTGAGCTCCTTGAAGATCGTCCCGGGAGGAGCTCCATACGGGGCCACGACGCGATGTACCGCTGGGACCTTCGGTGGAGCTCCCTATGGGGCCACCAAGCGCTGTATTGGGAGGGGGGGACGCATGCGGGCGGTAGCGCTGGGACCTTCGGTGGAGCTCCCTGTGGGGCCACGAAGCGCTGTACTGGGTGGGTGGGGATGGGGTGGGGGGGACGCATGCGGGCGGTAGGACGGGGGCCGTCGGTGGAGCTCCCCATGCGGCCACGAAGCGCTGTACTGGATGGGGGGACGCATGCGATCGGTAGCATGGGGCCACGAAGCGCTGTACTGGGAGGGGGGAACGCATGCGGGCGGTAATACTTGGACCTTCGGTGGAGTTCCTTATGGGGCAACGAAACGTGTGAGGGGTGTGTCGCGATTGACACTGATGCGGAGAGCCGAGGCAGGGATGGAAGGAGGGAGGGGGAGGAGGAAGGAAGGCAGGAAGGAGTGAGCGCCGGGCGCTGTCTCGTCAATACGAGGACCCAACACCACAGGGTGCTTGGGAAAAAAACTACTCAGGATGAAAGACTGGTCCCGGGGAAGGGGTCGACGCTGCGACTGCGGCCGCCGTCCTGGGCGCTCCGGGCCCACCCCTCCCGAGCGCTACCGCGGTGGGGCCCATGTGCTGGCAGACAGGCCGAGGCTGGAGGAGGCCCCGGGGCAGCCACCCCAAGCGCTCGCAGGCCTCAGAGAGACCTCGACAATCGAGCGCCCGCCCTCGCCCCAGGCTTGAGTCGGGCAGTCCGCCTGTAGGAGGACATGCCCGCCCTCGCCCCAGGCCTGCCGCGCCCACCTGCTGGAGAAGCGGCGGCGGCGGCCCGGCGACTGGGGGCCAGCGCCCGCGGGGCCGCCGCCGGTGCTCTTCAGGCGCCCGCGCCCCCAGGGGTGCGCGCAGTGGGCTCTCCGCGCGCGCGGCGGGCGGCAGCAGGCTCGAGGATCGAACAATGGTCGAGTTCGAGGGTCGGATCGGGCAGCTCTCCTCCTCCTCCTCCTCCTCCTCCTCCTCCTCCTCCTCCTTCTCATCCTCCCTCCTCCTCCTCCTCCTCCTCCTCCTCGTCCTCCTCCTCCTCGTCCTCCTCCTCCTCCCTCCTCCTCCGAGGATCGAGGGTGCTGGAGCTCTCGCAGCGGACGAGCAGGGGCGAGCGCGCGTGCTCTTGGAGGGCGCCTGCGCCCCAGACGCCCCGCGGGCGCCCGCGGGCGCGCGCGGTGGGCGGCGGGGGGCTGCGCTCGTCGTCGTCGTCGTCGTCGTCGGCGTCGTCGTCGTCGGCGGCGGCGGCGTCGTCGGCGGCGTCGTCGGCATCGGCGGCGGCGGAGGCGACGGCGTCGGCGTCGGTGTCGGCGTTGGCGTTGGCGTCGTCGTCTTCGTCGTCGTCGTCGTCGGCGGCGGCGGGGGCGACAGAGGGCTGAGGCAGCTGTGCGGTGCCTGGGGCGTTTCGCTTCGTGGCGCGGAGGGCGCAGCTCGTCAGACGGGGAAGGGGTGCCGATGCCGCTGCTCGTCCTGGAGAGCCATCGTCGCCGTGGGCAGTTTCGCCTCGAACGGCAACAACACGCCCAGGAGAGATCCGTGGAGAGGCGGTACCAGTACCTGTTGGCCCCCCCCAGCTCGGGGGATGGAGGGTCGAGGCAGTTAGACGTTTTCGGCCGTCCCCGCCTGGGCCCCCCACGGGCCAGGAGGCCTTCGGAGACCTCCGGCAAAGGATTCCCTCGACCTGCACCTTCCGCACCTCTCGCGCGGCCGGTGCCCCGTTGCCGTGGCCGTCGCCGCGGCCGCAGCGGCGGCCACCGTCGAGGTTGCAGCGGCGGCCGCCGCGGCCGCATCGCGGTGGCACCTTCCGTGCAGAAGGTGTGGAAGGTGCAGGTCGAAGGTTGGAGGTCTCCAGCCCGTGTAGTGACAGGCAGTGCAGTGATTTCGAAATCCTGAAGGACCTCGTCGAGCGGTCCGTCACCGCACGGTTCTGTAACCCCGGAGGCCCCAGTCGCCCGAGGCATCTTGGAGAACAGCCGAAGTCCCAAAACCTTGCGGTGATCCCGAATCCCCGCCGAGGAGGTCTCCAGGACTGGCGACAATGCCACAAGTTCAGGGGCAACGATGAGGCGGAAGATAGTCTCGGGGGGGGGGACGCATCGAATCCCAATCGCCGATAATGGGGCCGACGGCCCTGCTCCTCCTCCTCCTCCTCCTCCTCCCTCCATTTTTTACGTTGACCAAACCTGAATCATAGATTTGCTGCGTCCGCGGATGGGAAAAATAGAGTACCACTCGGGTCAGTGGTGTACCTGGCGGGCGCCGCGGAACATGAAATAATTCAAGACGAGGCCGAGAAGAGGAAGAAGAGTAGGCGCCCGCCAGGTGAACACAAATATCGCATCTTAACGCAGTGTCGACGGCAGTCTAGATGCCGTGCCTAGCAAAGTGCCGCTGCTGGATATGTAGCCTATATCCCTTCCTCCACAATCCGCCAGTCACCAACCCGATGTTCGAGTGAGGCTGGGTGCGCACTGTGAAGGCTTGCTGATGTCAGGCAATCAAGATGTATGCTACCTCTGCGGGCTGCCTGTCATAGCCTGTGGATGCAGGCTTGCAAAGAAGTGTGGCTGGCTGGTGCGCGCTGTCCTCCTCCCCCCACCACTGGTTCTCCCCCGCCAATCCCTTACCCGAGGTTGGAGTGAGGCTGGGCATGCACTGTGAGGCTTGCCGATGTTGGGCAACAACAAGGTATGATAGCATTGCGGGCTACCTGGTATAGCCTGTGGATACATACTCGCAAGTATCATAGTGGGGCTTGCTGGTGCTCGCTGTCCTCCACCCCCACCTCCGATCTGATCCACCTCCTCCAAAACGGAAGTAGACACCTCCTCAGTAGAGGAGTGAGTCACGCGAGTTGCAGAGCGCAGCGTTGATTACAAAGGAGCAAGGTGTGGCAGCTCTTAGGTGCATCCCAGGGTTTTTGGGGGTTTACCCTTAACCACCTCGGTACCAGGACCCTCGTGCTTGGTGGATTGCTCTTGCCGGGTTTAGCACGAACCCATATTTTCAAGTTGTTGTAATGCGATCGGAGTGTCGCAAGGCTGGCATGTAAGGCTGGTCTACCCTTGAGCTCTCAAGTGGAGGCTACTATTGTTATTATGTGTGCTCAGGCTGGCCTGTAGGATGAGGCTGACCACAGGATAATGTGCAGGGCAGATGGGTAGTGCGGCAAGAAAACTGTGAGGTGGAACGCAATGTGAGGTGGAATTTGGGAAGAGGCAGTCGTACGGGGTCAGTCCTTGTGGAGACCCAAGTGTGCACGTTGTGTGCTGCAATGGGTTTGAAAGGATGAACCTCAACATACAGAAACGAAGCGTGCAATCGTTGGGCTGCGATCCAGGGTGTTGTAGGGTTAACCCGAACCTGCGTATCGAGAGAGGTGCCACCATCGTGTCGGGCCGCGAAGAGGAGGGTGTAGGGCAGACCATCTATTGTAGAGAAAAGTGCAGTTGCTGCCTTCAGGTCGAATCAGAGTGGATGCTTCTGGCACTCTATTGTCCGAGGCCGCATTCATGTGAGTTCTGCGCTGGAAAATATGGCGCTGTGTCGCCGAAGTGCAGTAAATGCCGTATGGTAACCACACCAAGCCCCCCCCAACACAGAGACCTCCCCCTCCCTGCCCGCAATCCCCATCTCGAGGTAAGAGTGAGGCTGGGTGCGCACTGCGAGGTTGCGGCTAGGCAAAGGCAGCAGTATGGGGGGTCAGCCCCTCTGGGGACCCAAGTGTGCACTGCGAGTGTTGCAAAAGGGTTGTAAGGTTTACCCTCATCCTTCACAACAGGAAGCGTGCAATGTTCGGGCTGCGACCTAGGGTTTTATAGGGTAACCCCGAACCTGCGTAGAGAGAGAGAGAGAGAGAGAGGGAGAGAGAGAGAGAGAGAGGTGCCACCCACGTATCGGGTCCGCGCGAAAGGGAGGGTGTGAAGCAGGCCAGAGACGCGCGGGAGAAAGCCACCGGCATGCCAGGGCCGGGCGAAAGGTTGGTGTATCGTGCATCAGTCGAGGGAGCCCTGTAAGAGACATCACGGGCCGCGCGAAAGGGAGGGTGTGAAGCATGCCAGGGCCGGGCGAAAGGTGGGTGTATCGTGCATCAGTCGAGGGAGCCATGTAAGAGACATCACGGCGTACATGTGTGAACGTCGATGTACTGTTCGCTGCTCGGTCGGCATTGTGATTCTATGATATGTGTTCGCTCCTTCGTGATGTCGTCGTCCGATTTGAGCGGGCACGTCATGTAGATGGTCAGTGACGGTAAGAAGACGGATTTTGTTGCTGTAGCCCATTTGATGCATTATCGTATGTGCTTGTCTTCGATCATGCTGTGGTGCACCGCCTCAGTGTATGTCTGAGTAGTGTATGGTCGAGTCCAGTGCGCTGCGTGGTGTTGTGTCGTGTGGGATATTCGGTGTGCGTGGTGTTGTGTCGTGTGGGATATTCGGTGTGCGTGGTGTTGTGGTTGCCGTAGGGTTGTTGTGCTGCGTAGCCATGGCTGCCTGAACGCTATGCAGACTGTCATATGCTGGGCTGTGGGCGTTCATAGCGTTCGTATGTATGGGTCGAGTGGTATGTATTATTACAGGTCCGTCGGAGTGGGTGGGGTTGGGAAGCGTGCTGTGTTGTCGGCTATGCATGTAGTGACTGTGTGACAAACACGGGCTGGAATGTTGTAGCTACCTCCTTCCCCTCCTCCTCCTCCTCCTCCTCTTCTCCTCCTCCCGTGCTCCTCCTCCTCCTCCTCCTTCTCCTCTTCCTCTTTCTCCTCGTCATGTGCTCCTCTTCCTGCTCCTCCTCCTCTTCCTCCTCCTTCTCCTCCTTCCCATCCTCCTCCTTCATCCCCTTCTCCTCCTCCTCCTCTTCCTCCTCCTCTTTCTCCTCCTCCTCCTCTCGCTTTATTATGCTCCTCCTCGTCCTCCTTCTCCTCCTATTTCTCCTCCTCCTCCTGTGCTATCCTCCTGCTCCTCCGTCTCCTCCTCCTCCTCCTCCTTCTGTGCTCCTCCTCCGCGTCCTCCTCCTCCTCCTGTGCTCCTTCTCCTCCTCCTATTCCTCCTCCTCTTCCTCCTCCTCCTGTTCCTCCTCTTCTCTTCCTTCTGTCTCTTCTCCTCCCGCCTCCTCCTCCTCCTCCTCCTCTTCCACTCCCTCTCTTATTTGTTTCTCCTTCTCCTCCTCCTCCTCCTCCTCCTCCTCCTGCTCCTCTTCCTCCTCCTCCTCCTCCTCCTCCTCTCTTCCCTTCATCCTGCTCCTTCTCCTCCTCCTCCTCTTCCTCCTCCTCTCTTCCTCCTTCTCCTTCTGCTCTCTTCGTCCTCCTCCTCCTCGTCCTCCTCCTATTCCTCCTCCTCCTTCCATTACCTCCTTTCTCTCCTCCTCCTCCTCCTCCTCTTCCTCCTCCTCCTTCTCTTCCTTCTCCTCCTCCTCCTTCTCTTCCCTCCTCCTCCTCCTCCTCCTCCTCCTCCTTGTCCTCCCTCTCACCTTCCTCCTCCTTTTTTCCGCCTCCTCCTCCTCCTCCTTCTCCTACTCCTCCTCCTTCTCTTCCTCCTCCTCCTCCTCCTCCTCCTCCTCATCCTTCTCCTGTTGTTCTCTTCCTCCTTCATCCCCTTCTCCTCCTCCTCCTCTTCCTCCTCCTCTTTCTCCTCCTCCTCCTCCTCCTCCTCCTCCTCCTCCTCGTCTTTCTTCAATCCTCTCCTCCATTCCTTTTCCTGATACATCGTTTCTCCCTGTTTCGCGCGAGGCCAGTTTTTAGGGCGGGCTGGGCGTTTCGCTTGAGACCTCCGCACCATGTATGACCCTGAGGCTCAAACGTTGACAACAGCTTCACAGATGGAGGGAGGGCCGTTTTCAATATGTGGCTCTCGCCTTATCGCCGTGCAAGAGCTTCGCGGATCGAGGGCGGGTCGTTTTCAACATGTGGCCCTCGCTTCAGCGCCGCGCACACTCGTTTCAGCAAATTGCACGGGCTGCACGGGTCGAGGGCGGTTATGTCTCAACATGTGGTTCTCGCCTTAGCGCCGCGTGCATTCGTTTTCAAAACTGCGAGGGTTTCACGGATTTCCATGGCCGAGGTACCAGAAATATTGTTTGGGAAGGATTCGGGATTATGAGGGTGCAACAGGTAATTACGTTGATTCGCGGTGTTGAAGTCGCAGGAGCGGCGTTCTGGCACGGCTCTGGACCGTCAAGACGCAGCAGTCAAGTTGATCCGTGGCGTTGGAGTCCCGAGAATCATATTTCTGCATGCCTCAGAGTCTTCAAGCGGTTGTCTTCCAGACAGGCAGTTCCCTCAGTGAAAATGAACCCTTGTAGGTGTCTATGAAGAGGGAGATTGGAGGGAGGGTTTATGCAAACATCGTTGTTGACTCGTGGGGTTGCACCGATCCTCCTCCTCCTCCTCCTCCTTCTCCTCCTGTCCTCGCCTCCTCTAATCCTCCCTCCTCCTCCTCCCTCCTCCTCCCCCTCCTCCCTCCTCCTCCTCCTCTTCCTCCTCCTCCTCCTCCTCCTCCCTCCTCCCCCTCTCCTCCTCCTCCTCCTCCTCCTCCTCCTCCTCCTCCTCCTCCTCCGCCTCCTCTTCCTCCTCCGCCTCCTCTTCTCCTCCTCCTCCTCCTCCTCCTCCTCCTCATCATCATCATCCTCATCCTCCCCCTCCTCCTCCCCCTCTCTCCTCCTCCCCCTCCTCTCTCCTCCTCCCCCTCCTCCCCCTCCTCTCCAGAGGACGCGGCAGGGGGGAGCCCCCGGCCCCGAGGCGCCCGCCGCCGGCCGACTTCGGGGGCGCCCTGCAGGCCGCCTGCCGCCCGCTGGAGCCGCCCCCGGCCGCGCGCGGGCGCCGCCGCGGGCTCGCGGCGGCGCATGGCCCAGACCCCCTCGCGTTGTGAACAAAATCACGACGGGAGGTTCTCCGCTATTTCGGCCTCCCGGGCCCCGGGAGGGGCCCCGAGGCCCGGGAAGGGCCCCCGGGGCCCTTCCCGGGCCTCGGGACCGTCAAGAAACGACTCAGGACGAAGAGCCGGTCCCGTGGAAGGGGTCCAGACCTCGGAGGGTCGACCTTGCGAAGGCATCACGACGTCGGGGGCCTGGGGGCGTCGATCAGATCGGCATGTCTCCGGCGGCGTGAGCTTCTCGGCGGCGGCGAGGGAGGATGGGGCACTGCGAGGTTCGAACTTCGAGGCTCGAGACTCGAGGCAGGGTTCCCTGCAAGACGTATCAAAACATAATACATGCGTGTAGATGCGATCGCTCCCTGGTGCAGGCGAGAAGCCGATCGTATCTATTTTTCTGCAACGACGACAGTATAGATCCTATGTTTAGATGCGCGCCCCCGGCCTGCGCGGGAGCGCCGCTGTATCTAAACGTATCTATGTTTGAGGCATATCTAAAACATTGGGGCCGTATCTATTTTCTTTCCAGAATACATATCTATTCGTATCCACTTTTCAAAAAATAGCAGTGCCGCGCCGTATCTATTCGTATCTTAACATTAGGCAGACGAATGCTGTTGGCCGTGCTCTTCGGGGGGGCTTGCGGAGGAAGACGACGGCTGTTTAGGAAGCACGTTCTTCCCTGGAGGAGTGGGAAAGGCACGAACCTTGATACATAACATGGTTTTCGAATGCCCTCCTCGCTCAGGCGGGGCCTCCCTGGAGGAGTGGAAGGGGCACGAAATCTGATACATACAATGGTTGTCGAATACCCTCCTCGCTAAGGCGGGGCCTCCCTGGAGGAGTGGGAGGGGCATGAAACTTGATAAAATAACATTGATTTTGAATACCCTCGCTCAGACGGACCTCCCTGGAGGATTGGGAGGGGCACGAAACATGATACATGGTGTTCGAATACCCTTCTCGCTCAGGCGGGGCCGTCCATGATTTCCCACTTCACTTCCTCCTCCTCCTCCTCCTCCTTCTCTTCTTCCTCCTCCTCATCAGCATCGTCGTCCTGACTGGCATGTGCATTGTCTTCCCTGTTCGTGGTCATTGAGCGGCCTACGGCCTGGCAGTGGAGACATGGTGCCGTACCTATTCGTATCTATTCTTGGTAGACATATTTTCCAGCGATGGGCGCCGTATTGAACCGTATCTAAACATATCTAAGCACATCTACTTGTATCTAAACATGTCACCGTATCTAAATTTGGAAAGACAACGCAACTCCCGTATCTAAACAAATGTCAGAACTCTTATCTGAACGTATTCATTTATGAGGCATATCTATTCGTATCTAATTTTCTTCATGGAAACGTAGTACATCACACATGATTCAGGGAGGAATTTTAGATACCATGCGGTCCTTCCGAATGCGGCTGCCGCTGGGGAAATGAGCGGCAAAAATAGATGTTTTGATGTGTGTTCCAGGGTTTCGTTGTTTCCGGCCTCCCCGGGAGCCCCCGAAACTCGATCCAGGCTGGAAAACCGCGTGGGGTGGACCCCGGTAGGGGTCCGGGGACCGATTTTGGCCGATGTTCCGCTGCGAGCGAGGGGGGAGAAGGAGAGTCGACTAGACGTAAGAATGACCTTCCGCCGGAGTGACCTTTTGGTGCGGGCACAAATTGGTCCCCAGATCGCCGAACGCGATGCAGCAGCAGCGTCTTGCGCGGTTGTGCTTGGTCCCCCAGCGGCCCCCCCAAAGCCGCGCACCACAGGTCACTCTTACCCAAAGGTCACTCTTACCCAGGAGGAGGAGGCTGCTTCTTTCAAGCAGTGTCGAAGCGTCCTAGCTTGTCCATTAAGCCCACCAACGAATGAGCCTGTCCATTAAGCCCACCAACGAATGATCTGAGCTATTTTTGGTTAGCACGACAGGTTCTCAGATCCTTTCTGGCCGAGTCACTCTTGCGTGTAGCAGAGAGAAGGCCTTCTCAGAAGGCAGCGGGACTTCTTGGACCTTCTGGGAGGTGTTCTGCTTCTTCGGGGAAGGCGCAGGCAACTTCTCAGAAGGCCAGCGTCAAGCAGTGGCGAAGCGTCCTGGCTCGCCTATAGCCCTACAGTGCCAAACAATGTTCTAAGAACCTTTTGTGGTTTCCACGAAATGTTCTTAGAACATTTCTGGTTGGGACTGTCTTGGTTTAACACATCGGGCGAATGTTATGAGAACATCGTTTGTGTTCTTAGAGCTTTGGGGGGTTCTAAGAACCTTTCGTGATAGGATTACTATAGGAATGCCGGGACGGTTGGTCCCTGCTCAACAGCGGACCTCGGAGCCTTCTGAGAAGGCCCACCCCTCCTCATTTCCCCCCCTGGGCTCACCGCCGATTCTCGGCGGCGGAGTCCGAACTTCGGCGGCGCCGAGGTTCGGGGTCTCAGGCAGGGCTCGAGCCAGACGGTGCTTTGGCGATGTCGTGGGCCGTTGTCGGTTCGATGTGGTTTCGTGGCAGAGGCAGAACGGGGACAGAACGAATGGAGAACGAGCATACAGCGAGAACGAAATCCACTGTTTAGCTCGAGCCCTGGCTTCAGGTTTGGGGGCTTCTTCCAGGGCTTCTCGGCGGCCTTCCGGCCTCGGGATGCGCTCCAGCGGCTGCGCCTCGCCTCGGGCGCTCCGGGGGTGCCTGCAGATCGTCCCGGACGGCCGCCGGGGAGCCGAGCTATGGCCCGAAGGCCGCGGGTGGACCTGCGGCGAGCTCCGAGCCCTGCCCTCGCCGATCCACGATGCAGGCAACTCGATGGGCGGCGGGGGTGGAGTTCGGAGCTCGCCGAACACGTGGCGAAGCCCGAACCCTGCCCCAGCCTCCCATCGATTCAGGAGAACCGATGGTTGGCGGGGGCAGTGTCCGGATGTCGCCTCCTGTCTTCTCAGCCAGCCCCCCGGGGGCGCTACGGTCAAGAACTTTTGGCTCCCGTGTCGCTCCGCCGGCTCCGGCCCACGACGCTCTGGTGCGACACGCTGTCCACTTCCCGGCTGCGCAGTGTCAACGTCCCGAGCCTTCGGGAGCTCCCTGCCCCGCGGAGCGGGGCGGCACGCTAATTACAGTCGGGGCGTTGACCTGAGGATCCCTAAATGAGGAACGAGGCTCCTTTTTCCAACAAGTTCACCTTCGATTCCCCACGGAAAACCTAAGGAGATCCCAAGGCAAATTGTGCCCCTCCCCAACGAAACGGGTTCCTCAGGTCAGCGCCCCGACTGTACATCCGCTCACAGGGCAAAGCGTATCGCCCAAGCCGGCGCTGCGACACCTGTGCAAGAAGCCCGCACCGCAGAATCGGGCCTCGGGAACTGCTTTCGAGCCCTGGGGCCATCACCTTTCTTCCCTGGACGGTTTCCCCCAGGGCCGTAGGCGACCCGAGGAGGGGGGAGGAAGCGGAGGAGGAGGAGGAGGAGGAGGAGGAGGAAGAGGAGGAGGAGGAGGAGGAGGAGGGGGAGGAAGATGAGGAGAAGGAGGGGGGGAGGAGGAGGAGGAGGAGGAGGAGGAGGAGGAGGAGGAGGAGGAAATGGAGGAGAAGGAGCAGGAGGAGGAGGAGGGGGAGGAAGACGGTTCGCCTAAACGAAGCCCCTCGGAGAAACTCTCCACTCCTCCCCTCTTTGTTCTGTTTCTGTCCTCCTCCAGCTCCAGAGCTGCGACGTCCTTTCTTTTCTCCCCTGGACGTCCCAACCTTTTCCCCCGGGCAGGTTTTTCATCCCGAGTCGGTTTCAGACGGTCCCGAGGCCGGCGAGGGCTCCCCGGGGCCGAGCACTGGCAAAAACTTCCCAGCCCGATTTTGTTCCACCACGCGATCATGTCTGGGGCTGCCCCCGGGATGCAGTCGGGACCTCCCCCTGGCCGCGGACCGAAGAGATCACGCCGGCGGGCGCCGCGGTCTGCGCGTCTGCCGCGGGCCGCCCTGCGCGCGCGCGGGCGCCGCGGGCAAGTCACCGCCCCGCCCGCCCGCAGCTCGCGCGCGGCCGCGCGCGCGCCGGCAGGAAAAAGGTTGGCGCGGGCCGCCGCCGCTGTCGCCGCGGCGCACCCCGCGGAGGTTGATAGAACCCCCTCCCTCACAAGTCGATTGCTCTGGGTTCCTCCATGGTTGTTGGGGTGACTGGTAGTCCAGGGGGGGGGGGGCGGGGCCTGGAGTCCGGATAGGGTAGGGGGCCCTGCAGTCCGGGGGTGGGGGCTGTAGTCCTGGGGGGTGGGGTGGGGGGCGTTGTAGTCCAGGGGTTGGGCCCTTGTAGTCCATTGGTAGCCCCAAGACGCTCACCACCCCTCCTCAGAGTTGTTGCTCGCGACAATGCGAGAGCGCCAGACGAGCATCTCGTGTCCGCAAACAAAACACAAGATCGGAGGGTTGTCTGTCGTCGCGGACTTCTTGGGGATGGCCCACCCGCGGATGTGGTATGCATGCCTGCTGGTTGCGATCCTCCAAGGAAGGCGCAGCAGCAGAAGCAAGTCAGCGAGTTGGTGGTGAAAGGGGTCTTCCTAAGAGGGTGAAGCGTGGACGTGTTTGGTGGGATCGAGGGTCTGGGGAGGTCAGAGTGCATTTGCTCCGACAGATGCGATCATGGTTCATAAGTTTGTCGTCGCCGTCGGGTTGGAGGAGGAGGAGGAGGACGAGGAGGGGGAGGGCGAGGAGGAGGAGGAGGAGGAGGAGGAGGAGGGGGAGTTGGAGCCAGGGCATGGGGAGGTCAGCGCGCACCCCCCTCGAGAGCGAAGGTCACGCGCCGGGTCGGATGGACGCCGTCGCCGCTGTGGCCGTCGTCGCCCCTGGCTCCCCTTCCTCCGGCGACACCCGCTGCCGCTGACGCCGCGGCCGTCCCTGCGCATGCCACGAGCTGCCGGCTCATACCCAGACGTGATCGCGTCGTTAAC